GATTAGTTAATTATTAGTTTTTCATTTTTTTTTCAGTTTGTGTGTGACTGTTATAAGTAAAATAAAAATCTGTTTTTTTTTTAACTGTTATTGTATTTCGATGCTCGATCATTTTGTTGCAGATATTGACAGGCCTTCGGTAAACAAAGGTAAGTACGCATTTATGGGATTGCCGTCAATGGTTCTTTAGACTTAAGTTATTTATCACCATTTTTATAAGTTAACACAAATATAATCTTATATTAACTATTACTAAAAACAAAGAATGAAGTTTCTCGTACAAAAGTATGTCTCCTGTCTGTCAAATTTCTTAGTCCAATCCAACGCCATTATGCATAGATTACCAGTCAAATAACGTGTGCCAACCTGGTTAGATAATCATGACTAAAAATGAAAAAATAAATATGTGAAAACACATAATTAAAAAAATATATCGACTGCCCCAACGAAAAGGGTAAAAATTTAAATTCTTATTCTGTTTTTAACATATCAGTTTGTTTAAAAACAGAATAAGAATTTAAATTTGAATGTTTGTTTGGGTCATCCTGAAAAGTTGCAAAAAACGAGATACGACCCGTTTTGTTGGGGCAGTCGATATATGCTTAGCTTCGCACCGAATATAAAACTTGTATTTATTACTCATAGCAATACAGATGTTTCTTTTTCTGCAGTCGATGATTGGTCAGACTTTGGAAATAAAAGAAGAGATAAAACTAGAAAGGCTATAATACAACTGTTATACATCGATTTATATCGTAAGCATTCATTTAAAGTTATAATAGATTTACACATACTAATTAAATAACCTAATTTATTAAAATATTTCTTTTTCAATAACAACTCATTTACAGAAGTACATATTACAGATTCATTCCTACTACAATACCAATAAATATTTTATATTTTGATTATATTATATTATGAATATTATATTTTGATTGGGGTTGGGGGTGGGAATTAGCTCTGACACATGACCGAAAAAAGTGTTACCAACAATTAATAACGAAAAAAGCGTTAGGACATAGAGATAGGGTAGAAGATAGGGGTAGGAGATAGGGGTGGGAGATAGGAAGTAGGAGATAGGGGGTGGGAGATAGGGGGTGGGAGGTAGGGGTAGGAGATAGTGGGTAATATATACTGGGTAGGGGATAGGGGTAAGATCTAGGAGATAAGATATATGTTGTATGATCAACGTTCAAATTAGAACTAAATGATAAATTCAAATAAGTTTAAGGGCCCTAATACTCTATGAATTGTTTTAAGCCAAATATTAAACACTACAATATTAGCCAGAAACTTGATATTTTAATATACTAGCTTGTTACTGCTTCTTAATAAACTATATAATTATCTATAATTCCACCACTACTCTAAATTTATTCGGTTAGGTTAGGTTTTAACCAATTTTTTTTTTAGAATAATATTATATAAACAAAGCCAAACTTGTCCAAACACACCTCAAAAAGTACTAGGCACATATGCGTAAAACATATCTATGATTCAATGTTTTTCCTTGGAGCGGAAAAAATAACTAGGGTTTTTTCTTGACATACACTTGGCTCGGGATCATTAGATATTTAAATCTTCTCTTAATGTACGTTAAATCGTAATATTATCATTATTAAGCTATTTCTTTTCAATTAAGTTTTTGTTCATTTAATACCGGATATCTATCGCTTATGTATCAATCCCATTACAAGACATTTAATAGTTAAAAATTCACAAAAATATAATTAATTAAAATGTTTTACCTAGCTACAAAAAGTAAAGTTTATTGAGTCAAACCCAACCAATATTCCCAAACTTCCCCTCTCGTCCTAACTTTTAAACTCTAAACTTTAAAAATAGTTGTTAATAACTAATTATCGACCAGCCAACATTTTTAGTAATATATTCTTATTTGAAAAGTTAATAAATTATATAAGTTACCATTTCAGTTTCAAGAAATTCTATAAAATTAAATATTTTGGAACCCCACCCTAAAACAAAAAAAGTATGTAAAACTGAGATCACATTGCATAAAAACTCTATAAAAAAAAAATTAACTTACTAAATAAACCCAATGAGATAATAAGTGGTTCACGATCAAATTATCACTGTACTATATCAACTTTCATTAACATATATATTTTTTTATAATTCACAATCCACTTCAAAGTTATATTGAACAAGTCATAACATCAGTTTCCAATGACATTGCATTTTTTAATAAAAAAATTTCTCATGTTTCTTATAAAAATAATTATGAAAAAAACCTAGGTTTAGTTTTTTTTAAATATATTTTATAGAATTTAACTGAATATTAAATTCGATATATTATATTATGTATGTGTATCTGTTGGCCGGTCGTGTTCCTCATATGTCAAACAGATGTTGCTTAAAAATAATATTGCCGTGTTATATATTATGTACACTTTATATTTAATTGTATTTCTTTAAACACATTATTTAATTATAAAGAAAACAAGTAACAAGAAAGCTAAATTGACAATTTTTTTTTTTCAAGATGAAATCGATAAAAACTATAGTTTAAAGCAGAAATGTATTTTAATTGGAATAGCAATGAGTACGAAATTTCCAATACATTATACAGAATCAGTTAAGATGGAAAACTATAGTGTTTGTGTCATAAAAAATATAAATGGCACTATTTCTAAATACAAAGAGTTTATGAACGAATTTTATCAAGTAGACTATATATATGTTCATAGAAGAAGGCAAAAACTTCTTGAACAGTTAGATCTGGAACTATAATAACAAAGTATGTCTTTATAATTAAGTTTATTTTTAAATATTGTTTACTAATTAACTTATACATTTTAATGTACTTAAGTTATTATATTTAAATAATTATATTCACACCGCTCCTATATCTTTAGTGTATAAATAGATGAATGTATTTTATAATAAATATATTTGCTCACCATTTTGTACGTGATTGTTGTTAATGAATTGTTTAATATTGATAGTTAATACTTTTTTATCGTCTCCAATTTGAGCATTTTTGAAAAAGACGTTACTACTTAAAATCATCATATCCTTTTCTTTCTTTGTGATTAAAGAAACAGGCCATCCAAGCCCTACTGCACTCCATCTATTCCAATTTCTTTGTCATTATTTTTTCCTAGTAAATTTATGTCCTCTGCACTCTATCCATCCAACTCAGTCTTGGGAATTTTGCCGGACCATTTTACCACTTCTAGGGTCATTTGTTCTTGTACATGATATACGTCATGTCCTGTCTACTTATTTTCCTGCGACTCATTATTGCCACTATATCCTTTTTTTTTCTAAAATATCTCTTAGATGTTGGGTTTTTTATAACCTATATACTTCAATTTTTTGGTATTCATTTATCGACGCAAAATTTTGTCTAGAATTTTGAAAGATTTTTTTAAATATGTTATTGCAATATGTTGCTCACTCTAGAGGGTCGTCCGCATTGGCCTAAGAATTAACTCACTCGAGGATGACTATCTTCTTTTTTTATAATACATAAGTACATGATGGAAGTAGAAGAGGATGCAAAGGGTCCAGTTTCACTATGTTTAGTTTACATCTTGAGTTTTACTGGCTCTAGACGCTGCAGCTCAAACTTGTTTCCCTGGATTTAGAAGTTGTAGCTTGAATTCATACATTTTCCAAACGGCGATTCTTCTGATCCTCGGTTTCTTTTAGCCATAAATTCTAGATAAAGTCTACAGCAGCTGTAGAACGACCTAGATTAAATCTTACATAACAAAAAACACTTAAAAAAATGAAGTTTTTCAGCCGAGTCTGCAACCACGAAAGAGAATTTTCATGTCTCGTTGAAGTACCGAATAAATTTAGAGTGGTGGTGGAATTATAGACAATAAAATAGTATATTAACAAGCTAGTATCTAAGGTTACTATATTTTAGTGATTGCATAATATCTGACCTTAAACAATTCATAGGAAATATGACCTGTTAAATAACATTAAATTTATTTCTCAGTTATAATTTGATCGTTGTGAATACAACATATCTCTCACCCCAATCTATTACCCCTACCTCTTATGCCTTATCTCTTACCCCTATCTCCTACCCCCTATCTCCTACCCCTATCTTCCAGCTCAATCCCATCTTCACCCCATCCCACCCCTATTCCCACCCCAACCCCATCTCCGTGTGGTAACGCTTTTTTGTTAACGCTTTTTTGATAACCCTTTTTTGGTAACACTTTTTTCGGTTATGCGCCAGAGTTAAGACATGAAAATGTCTAAAAAACTGAATAAATATTTCAACAATGAGGTGACAATAGTAACAATTTATTATAGAGAGATATCTTGAACGTCTTATATTCTGAATTGTTCTATTGAAATATGAGGTAAATGGGCATACTTCTTAGATACAGAACCAAAATAGCGCTTAAATTTAACCGATGTCGAGTCATAAAAATATTGATGAACATTTTCTTAAAACGACCTATTGACATATGATATAATCTTATTAAAAACTAAATTTTGTTTTATTATATTAAACATTTTTTTAGAGGAGAAGTGGCGAAGTGGGTTAGGCGACAGTGTGTTATCGCTCACTGTCGCCGGTTCGACACTAAGGCACGGGCGCTCTGTTTGCCGGCTGTTACTCTCTACCTCATATCTCTTACCCCTACCCCCAACCCCATCCCCATTCCTACCAACAACCCTATCTCCGTGTCCTAACACCTCAAAGACAAAAAAAGTATGTAAAAATGACATAATAAACTCTTCAAACTAATTCGTTAAAGTTTAAAATAAGTAAGATGGTTTTTGTCGATAAAATGTAATACACAATAAAATGTGCTAACACTATCCAATGTAAACACTACTTTTACGAGTGATTTATAAAGAAAAAACTGTTAAAGAAATGAATAGTCTAAAAGCCACGTCAGAACAATGTAAATATGAATTCGTATTAAAATTAATTTACCAGCTATGTAAATAAATTGACGTAGACATCCAGTTTTTAGTCGCAAGAAGGCCACTTTACAACTGGTAGTTTAAAAAGCTAATCAAATTGATTTCTGTCCTAAATGCTCAGAAATTTCAATCATTAAAGTAAGACACACTTGCAAACTTTGATGATCGTAAGTCCACATTTTGTACATTCTTATTAAGGTTTTGTAATATTCTATTTTTTTATCAAACTTGCGATAACTCTTAACAATGCTGATAATTTCATTTAATAGCAAATATTTTTATTTTTTATTGCTATAGAAAAACTAAAAAAATAATTTGAAACACTTAAAATTGTATACAATTTTGGTTAACTGTTGACTTAGAAAGAGATATAAACTCGTAATTTAAATATGTTCCATTAACACTATACCCCTTCGCTTTCATTAAGAAAAAAAACCGTTTGACTACACTAATAATAGCGCAATAAACCAACTATTATCACCTCTTCCAAAAAAGAGATTTATTTATTTTTACCATAGTTGGTATAGCTATGTTAAAAAAAGATCACATATGAATGTAGGAATAATTTGACTAATTTTCAAGTATAGTTAATAATATGTACTCATCGTAATTTTAAGTTGATAAATATGTATATTTTAATTGTGTTTTGCTTAATATTTTAGATAATACTTTCAATTTATAGACATGTTAAATAAAAGTATCTTTCCAGTAATTTAAAAGGTATACGGGGTCCCAGACAAAAATAACAACAATGCAAAATCAAAACTTTCTGGTCACTGCATCGTAGATAATAATTAGTTGCCTTCTGTGTTTTATTAATAAAATATTTATCGTTTAATATTATTTGCAGATAAAAATGATATTTTATATTTATTTAATATCATACGCATTCGTTAATGTTTTGTCAGATACTATTGATATGAGTAATTATTACATTTACATGTGAACTACTTAAGGTAGTTAAAACTCTATATTAATAAGAAATGATATTTTACAGGTGAATATATTAATGAATTTCACATTACCAGTCAGTATCCTTATGTTTTTAAATTTAATTGTTTTTTAAAATATTAGTTCAATGATTTATTACAGACGAACTTATGGAAAACGCTTCGAACACGATTGGAAATCTTGGAAATCTGAGTAAGATATGCTTAAAATGATTACAATGCTATACTCTTTTTTTATTTTATTTACCTGATTATCAAATTATTTATATTGAAAAATATAGTTTCTCAAATGTTGAGAATAGTAGTGCACGAATTACGAAATTATTAAAATTGTTTTTATAACTCAAAACATCATTTTTTTATTCTAGATGGATTGGCCTATACACTTAAAAGAGTTATAAGTCAAGATGCATATACAATGGGTATTTATTATATTATGAAATATTTGTGTACTTATATTTTTTAGAACAACTACGACTAATTTTCTAACAACGATTAGGTTTAGTACAGTCATCGTGATATTGGTTTTTATATGTGACTTCACGATCATCCCTCCTTTTTCCTTTTTCCGGCCCCAGCTTCCACATGACCGGTGGCCGCAGTGCGACAGCGTGCATTACTGATGAGTATAAAAATGTGCTCGCTGGCACCGGCTATATTACCAGGGACCCATACGTAAAGTTTGCTATAAGTTGTTACGCGCCTAAGGCAGAAAGTAAATTTTATATTATTTAATTCAAAATTAGAACAATGCATTCTTGACCAAACAATACACACTAGAATTTCAAATTAGTAGAAAACATTTTTAGTCCAAAGTACCAGGGTCCTATGTAAAGTTTGCTATACATTGTTCAGCAAAAGTAGCGGATGATAATTATAATTAAATATTAAACATTTTGACATTAAAATTTTCACGTAAATAGGCTCTATGGACGATAGTCTAAGAGTTCAGTGTGATTTAGATAGTTTTGTTGCTTTCTCCGATAGATTAGGTTTATCTCTGAACATAGTTGTATTCTGTACTTTTGTTTTTCAAATGTACACATGTAAGGTGTGAATTTTTCAAAGTTTATTCACGAGGAGTTAACGAGAGGTGTACTAGTGTACTAGGAGTGACAAGTTTAAGGTGGTATAAATTATAACAAATATTAGTGGCAAAAATATAAAATCTTCTTACTGAAATTTTTAATTTATATACTTTTGCTAAGATTATATCCATGATTCAATGTGTTTCCGCGGAGTGGAGAAAAAAAAGGGTTTTTTCATAGACAATTCATGAATACTAAAATAATATTTTTTTTTGTTCAAGCTCTGATTTATATTTTATTGCTTCATACGCATGTTAACAGCTAAATAACTAAAAAAAAACTAAAGTGTAATAAATCAAGAGTAAAGGTGACTTAGTAGGTAAATGCATATGGTTTAAGATATGGGAATAATAGTCTAGATGCAGAATTTTAACCCTCTCATTTCAGACTGGTGCCACTAGATTATTTAATTTAACCAGAGGTTTTTACATATTATTGTAAAAACTAAATGGAATTTTTCTGACAAAAATAACTGGTGATAGTTTATTTTTATCTCATTTAATATTTATATTTTATTCTGCTCATCATATCTACTATAATTTAGAAATTTATTACAATAAAGTATGTGCTCTCTTCAATAATGTAGAACGAACAAATTTTACAAAACTAAAAATACACTTATACGCTTTTACCTCAATTACCTCGTGTTATAATTAAAAAAATAAAATAGAAAACTACATTATAATTTAACAATTAATTTAGGTAATGTTCATTTCAGAGGAATTGAATTTTATGTTTACAATACCAGGTAATAAAATATGTCTTAGCATTTTCTAGTCAATTTTTTACAAAGTTTTTGATATTCATTAAGTGTGAAATGTTTTCGTTTAAATTTCAGATCAAGCAGACGTTTTGGATCTCAATAGTAATCATCATTACTAATTAATTGTGTTATACTTAAATAACTCTACGCAGTCTTAATTTATGTACTTATGTAATAGTCTAAATCTTCTGTCTTAAATGTAATAATAGTTTATTTTATGTATCGGGTACAACTACAATATATATATTATATATACACACTTTAAAATTTAATTTGTTTTGAATTTTAGAATACATAGGATACCAGAGAAAAATGCAAATTGAAATATTCCTTGCCTTACGTATGTTTAAAACTAAATATACCAATGAAAATAAACATTAAAATAATTAATCATTATATAAAAACGATGAATAATCAATTCAAGTTCATAGTCAAAAAATAGTATTTTTTTAATTTAAGTTTTGATGGTAATTAGAAACAATATTTCATATCGTCTGTTTAAGCGGGGTTACTATAAGTTATAAAAAGTTTAAGCAATATTATAGATTAATAGTCTAGTTTTTTATTTTTTTTTTCAGTTTATTTGTGACTGTGATTAATAAAAATACACAAAACTATTTTTTTTTTTTGCAGATATTGATAGGCATTCGGTAGACAGAAGTAAGCACACATTATAGTTGTAAACTGATTTAATCGATGCTATTTCTATTGATACCTCGAATACAAAAAACAAATTTACCTGTTCCTAATGAATACAAATTACTAATAATTAATGCAGCCCATATATTTTTAAGTGGACACATTTCTTCGTGAACTTTTTTTATACAGATGTTCATAACAAAAGTCTGGAAGAAGCGAGAAGACATTTTTAAAAAAATATAGTAGATTTAAGATAGAAGATGAGTATACTTGTTTAGGGTTTTTTAAATTATTGAAGGGGAAGTTTTGGTTTGTTAGAGTTTCAGTAGCTTGACCGACAGCGTGAACATTGTAACCACTGCCTCACTGGAAATGAATTGTGATAGATAAATATTCTAAATCTATTCTTTGAATTCTTTTAGAATTTATTTCCATTTGCACCGAGCTCGTATTTATTATTTGTAGCAACACAGATTTTTATTATTTTTAGCGGTTCACGATTGGTCAAAACTTGGAGAAAAAAGAAGAGAATTAACTAGAAAGGCTATTTTACAACTGTTCTTATTCGAAATATATAGTAAGCATTCTTTCAAAATTATTATAATAGGGAAAGTGGAGTGTAGTAATTTTTTTATCTGCACGCATTTCCCAACCGCACTTCTCCTCCCATCCAACTTGTAAACTCTAAACTTTAAAAATAGTTGTCCGAAACTGGTTAACGACCAGTAAAAATTTGTAATACATTATTCTCAATTTAAAAAGTTAATAAAATATATACGTTATCATTTAAGTTTCAAAAGTTGCTATCAAAAAAACTAAGTTGGAAGGATGGGGAAAAACAAAAAAAAAAATTGTGAAATTGAGATCACATTGTATAAACACATTATAGAAAAAAAAATAAATTATTAATTAAACCCAGTGAGGTTATAAGTGGTTCATGATAAAATAATCACCCTGTATTATAATTGGACTCTATGTTTTCAATTAAGTTATTGTTTATTAAATACAGATATTTACTTAGTACGGATATTTGTAAAGGTAGATTTATCTACTAGTGGTGTGCCTTCAGATATTTTGAAAACGTGACTTACAACACTGTTGCTCTCTAAATACATCAATATTATTTAACCATTGTTAGTTCAGACACATTCAATGCAAAAAATGATGTATTTTTAGCTTTGCGTCAAAGATAAAATATCAAAAATTGTTTGAAAAATGGTCATTAGAAGAGATTTTCTTTTTCTTTATAATTAAAAAAAAACTGAACATGATTCCTCTCAAAAAAAACTCTTCAATTTATACTTATATTATATCTAGCCATCACAACCATAATTTTTTTTTTGAAATCAAACAATTCACTAGAGAGTTATATTAAACGAGTGATAACTTCAGTTTCCGATGATTATTATTATTTTTTTTTTTAAATCTCTTATATTTCTAGTAAAATTAATTATGAAACTAGGTATCTACGGTTTAAATTTTTTTGTTTGAATGTATTTTTTACTATCATACTAAACTATATATTCGAGATATAATTTATATGTAAATCTGATGTCCGGTTATATTCCTCACAAGTAAAACAATTTGTTAATTAAAAATAATATAGCTGTATTATATGGATAGTGGACACACTTTAAATTTATATCTTTTTAAATTTTCATTTGTTTTGCCTTTTACTATAAAGAAAACTAGTAACTAGTTAGCTAAGTTGAACATTTTTTATTTTGTTTTCAAGGTTACTATAGTAATTACAGTTTAAAACAAAAGTGTCAATTGATTGGATTAGGATTGAACATAAATAATCCATTAAATTATGCCGAATCTGCTGAAGAGGATGAATTCTCTGTTTGTCTAATAAATCATGTAAATGGCATTCGTTCTAAATACAAAGAGTTTGAGAAAGAATTTTATCAAGTAGACTATGAAAATATTTATAAAAAAAATCAAAGATTTCTTGATCATTTAGTTCTGAATATTTAAGCAAAGGAAAACTTAAGTTTTTTTTTAAATATCGTTTAATAATAACCTTATAAATTACACAGTACTTTAGTTGTTTTATTTAAATAATGTTATGTATACTTTAATATGTTTTGTGTTAAATAATTGAATGTATTTCATAATAAACAGTTTTCTCATCATTATGAACATTATTATTGTTAATGTACTGTTTAATATTGATTCCTAATACTTTATCACCCTATACAATTTGAAAATGTTTGAAAAAGACATTATTACTTCAAGCAATCACATCCATTTTCTTCATTATAAGTACACACAGTAACATACAAGGCATTCAAATAATTTACCGCGTCTACTACTCCATTTCATTTCTTACCATACTTTTAAGTTTTGTTCCTCTGCTATATCTATAACAACTGAATTGTTAATATAAATAATGCCATAATATTTTACTTACTAAGAAAACGAGTTTATCTTAACAATATTAATGCGTACTTACATTGATATTTCAACATTGGGAATACTATTAATTTTAACGAAGTTCAAGAAGAAAGACGATGCTGTTTCTATATCACTAAACCATAAGGCTTTTACTTCTCTGTTGTCAATATGGTATCGTTGTCTCAAATCAAGTATACACATAAAACTGATAGGTACTACATACTAACAGATGAAAATGTACACACGTGTCTCTGATTTGGGAAATTTTTGAATCGTATTGAAATGAATATGTCTTATGGCTGGAGGCCTTTTCAAAATTCACGTGACGCCGTCCACCTCACCTTATTATGTATTATTAACAACAGTTTCACCTGTTTACATGTTTAAAAATAATATAATATATTAAAACCAAACTAGCCCAAATACCGCTAAAATGTCATTTATTAAGTCAAATTTAAAATGGAAATAAGAGTTTGACATGCAACTAAACAACGATCAGTCTATAATAACCAGTCGACGTGGTCTTTACTAGATACTTCGTTAACATTTATACTCAAAATTATATTTCGTATTTCTGCTCTGACAAGTTGCTAGTTAGTATTTCTTATGGTTCGTATATAAATTGCGTTGGAGCTAATAATGTTAACATGTTAATAGCTGTTAAAAGACAAAAATAATTCTTCAAAAGAGTAAAGATAAAATAAAGAAGATTTTTTGCGAATAACTTTTACAATTTAATGTCTCTAATGTAAACACTAGTTTACATTTTAAACCCGTTTAGCATTTTTCTTCGTGCATTATGATCAATGAACTAACTAATCGAGAATATAGACAGTTGACTAATTGACTAGCACCTATGAGGTATATACTGAAATTAAAAAGACAGTTCTTTCGTTTAGTGATTTATATAGAAATAACTGTTAAGAAAATAGTCTAAACAACACTTTAAAAAAATGTAAATATGAAATCGTATTAAAAAAAATAAACCAACTATGTAAATAAGTTAACGTAGACACTCATTGGCTAGTCACAAGAAAGCAAATTTAAAAATATTAGTATAAAAAGCTAATCAAATTGATTTCTGTCTTAAAAGCTCGACCATTGCAATCATTTATGTAAGTGACACTCACAAATTTCAATGACGGTAAGTCCACATATTGTACATTCTTATTAAAGTTTTGTAATTTTTTATTTTTGTATTCAACCTGCGATATGTTTAAGCCATACAGCCAATTTTATTAAATAACAAACATTTTTTGTAAATCATTTTTTTGTTGTAGATAAACTTAAAAAAATAAATTGGAACACTTTCATACAATTTTAGTTGACTGTTGACTTCCGAAGGGCTATAAACTAGCCATTTCATTATTTTCTACAACCACCATACCCCATTTTCACCATAGTAGTTTTTTTTTGGTTTTTCATTAAGAACTACAACTGTTTGACTACAATAATAATAAACAAGCTTTTTTTACCACTTCTAAAGAAAATGTTTTTTTATTTTCACCATATTTGGTATCAGTATGTATTAAAAAATATCGCACATTAATGTAAGAGTAATTTGACTACTTTTCAAGTCTAATTAATAATTTGGACTCGTTGTATTTTTAAGTTAAAATATATGTATGGTTTCATATTGTTTCGCTCCATTTCACGTTAAGTTTGTCCTATAAACTAACTTTTGGATAATATGTTTAATCTATATTAAAGACATGCTACATACAAATATCTTTCCACTAACTGAGAAGATATAGTGGGTCCACTCAGTAACTAAAATTTGCATCGTAGAGCATAAATAGTTGGCTTCTGTTTTATTAAAAAAAAATGTTATCGTTTATTATTATTTGCAGATAAAAATGATATTTTACATTTTTTTAATATCATATGCTTTTGATAATGTTTTGGCAGATACTATTGATATAAGTAATTATTTCATTTTGACGTACTTACTCAAGGTAATTAAAAATCTATAATAAGAAATAATATTTTACAGGTGAATATATTAATGAATTTCATATTACAAGTCAGTAACGTTTGAGTTTATAAATATAATTGTTTTTTTAAATATTTGTTTAATAATTTATTACAGACGAACACATGGAAAGCGCTTTTAACACGTTTTATGGAAATATCAGTATGGCATACTTAAAATTTCTACACTAGTATATAAATTATTTATTATGTTCGCCTTAATATCAAGTTACTTATAAATTTAAAATTATGGTTATTCTAATTTGTTGAGATTAGTAGTTTACCAATTATGATTATTTTTTAAATTGTTTTTATAACTCAAACCATTATTGTTATATTCTAGGTGGATTGGCTTACACAATAAAAAGAACTATTACTGGAGATGCATACACAATGGGTATTCATTATTTTAAATAATATTTGTGTACCTATATGTTTTATTTTTTTTTAAAACAACAGCGTTTTATTCTTGATCTAAGTATAAGATATTTAAGATAAAGTAGTAGTCGGTCCATGTTCTGTTGATTTGATTGTTGATCAATGTTTAATAATTAATTTGTCTAATCATAATTTCAGAGGAATTGAATTTTATGTTTGCAATACCGGGTAATATGAATGTCATTGAATTTTATGATCACATTTTTACAAAGTAGATATTCATCAAGTATTGAACGTTTTGGTTTTAATTTCAGATCAAGCAGATGTTTTGGATCTCGACAGTAATCGCCATTACATATTTATTACTTTATATTTAAATTATTATTATGTATCGGACATATCTAGAATAATATTATATGCACATATTTATTTCTATCGTGAGGTAATATTTATATTAAAATTGTATTTGTTTTGAATTTTAGAATACATAGGGTATCAGAGGAAAATGCAGAATGAAATAATCATGACCTTGCGTATGTTTAAAATTAAAGTTTAAGTTAAAGTTTAGTTATTAAAAAATATTTCAAAATTGGGCATTATATAAAAACGATGAATATGCGATTCGAGTTCAAAGTCAAAAAACTTTAATATTTAAATTTAAGTTTTACTGATCATTCAAAACAATGTTCATATTGTCGATTCAAGCGGGTTTACTATAAGTTATTTAAAGTTTAAGCAATATTTTAGATTAATTATCTGGTTTTTTATTTGTTTTCAATTTGTGTGGGACTGTGATAAATAAAATATTAAACTGTTATTATATTTTGATATTTTATAGCTACCCCAAAAAACCTATTATATGACCACTTTAGTCTTTTACACAAAAATCCATAAAAATGTTTTATCTTCGATGCTTTTGATTTTACAATGATATGGTTTTTTTTTTGTGCCTGTATACACTGTTACTTATTTAATACTGGACCAAATTTAATCTCTTATATAATAACAATTTCTTTAGAATTGTGACCTCTCCGTATCCACTGTACTAGCTTACTCGGATAAAATCACTTTCTAATAAACGCTTTAATGTAAATCTGTAAAAACTGCCCCTCACTTTAATACTTTCTTATTATGCTAGTTTATACTGTGCTTGGTTAGAACTGTATTGGTTTAAAAATATTAACTACTGATTCGCATCGAATCGTTTATTTGATAGTAATTATATCCCTTTTAGTTGTAACAATTACTGTAAACCTATGACCTCCTATTCCTCGCTATGCTTTGACCTTATTATGCCTCAACTCCACTATGCTCCGTTCCCACTATGCCCTGACCCCACTGTACTTGCTTTTTTTAACCGATATTATATCTTGATTTTATATTATAATTTTTTCCAGATATTGATAGGCCTTCGGTAAACAGCGGTAAGCACGCATTATAATTGTAATTTACCCTCCAGACATAGACTATTAATCATTAACATCGTATGAACTATAACTAAGAAAGTCTGGGAGAAGTCTAGAAGCATTTTTTTAAATTAATTAAAGTATATTTAAGATAAACGGTGAATAAACTTGTTTGAGGTTTTTCTAAGTATCGAAGGGGAAATTTTGGTTAATTTAAGGTTTTTTGTGCTATACTTTTGGTATTTATAGATTTAGAAAAGGCATATGATAGAGTCCCTAGAGAGGTTTTGAGGTGAACGTAAGGAAGAAAGGAGTTCCGAGGGTTTATGTGAAAGTAATAGAGGAAATGTATGAAGGGGCAAGTACAAGAGTGACGAGTGTGCATGAAAAAACTGAAGATTTTAGTCTAAGAGTAGGTGAGCGTCAAAGTTCAGCGTTGAGTCCTTACTCAATTTCTTTAGTAATGGACGAATCTACGATAGATATACAGGGGGAGGTGTCCCTCTGTTTGTGGATGACGTAGTGTTAGTGAGGGAAAGTCCGGAAGAATTGGGCGAGAGACATGAAGAGTAGAGAGAAGCGCTTGAAGGGAAATACTGAGGATTAGTCGGAGTAAAACGGAGACAATCGTGTTTGATTTTGGATAAGGTTAAAGGGTAAGACAGGTAATGCAGATGGGTGATGATGAAGTGTGTGAGGTTGATAGGTTTAAGTACTTAAAATTGGTGGTACAGAAAAATGATGGGTACGAGGAGGATGTGAAAAATAGAATAAGTTGTGGATGGATGAAGTGGAGGGGATCGTTGGGTGTTTTGTGTGACAGAAGGATGCCTATTAGATTGAAAGGTAAATTTTATAGGTCGGTAGTGAGGCCAGCAATGTTATATGGGTCGGAATGTTGGGCAAAACGGAACAGAGAATGCAGAGTGTAGTGGAGATCAGAATGTTAAGATGGATGAGTGGAGTGACTAGGGAAGATAGAATAAGAAATTAATACATAAAGGGCAGTCTAGCAGTTGCATCAATTGTAAAGAAAATAAGAGAGAATAGATTGAGATGGTTCGGTCATGTTATGAGAAGAGATGAGGCAAAATCAGTGAGAGGTGTTATGAAGATTAGCGTAGAGGGGAAAAGAGGAAGGGGTAGACCAAAGAAAATTTGGATGGACGGAATACAGAGTGATATGATGATAGCGGGGATGATTGAACGAGATCTAGAAGACCGAGCTCTATGGAAGTGTAAGACTAGGGTGGCCGACCCTATGTAGTTGGGAGTGTAATTATTTTATTATATTTGGAAGGACTATTATAGCTGTTATAGCCTGTGTCGTATTCTAGTTTATGTTGCGTCAGATTGAACAATAAAAACTTGTGGTTAGAGAAACAAATTTTATACGGAAAACAAATGCCGCATAGGCTATCAATTAAACGGCGTGCGCCAACCCGGGTAGATAACCGTGAACAAGACTAATAAATAACAAATAAAAACTGATCATATACAAAAAATATATTCTCAGCTTTGCATCGAGCTTGGATTTATTACGGATATTTGTTATTTTTTAGCACTTCTTGATTGGTCAAAACTTGGAAATAAAAGAAGAGACATAACTAGAAGGGCTATAATACAACTGTTTAACAAGGACTTTTACCGTAAGTCTTCACTTCAAGTTATTACAGTTGTGCTTTTTTGAGCATATAATCTATACATAACTAATTCAATTTTATAATTTATAAAAACATATCTTTTTCATTAAAATGGTGGTTTTTCAATTAATGGTGGTGATGGTAGATTTACATTTTTATCAGTTGGCCCAGTTAAGTTAAATCATAAGTCTACGAATTATCAAGGAGGCATAATTGCATTAGGAGCATTTCATTTTTTTTTGTTTGTTAATATATATTGATAATACATATGAATTGTCGAGAGCAAAATCATAGTAATTTTGTAACTTACTAAGTTGATAATTTTTTTTTTAAGGTGAAAAATATAGTAGTTATAGTTTTAAGCAGATATGTCAATTAATTGGACTAGCATTGAGTACAATAGATCCATTACAACACACAAAAAGTGTTGAGGTAAGTAATTATAATATTTGTGTCATAAAGAATGTCAATGACATTCTTTCTTGGTACAAAGAGTTTGAGCAAAACTACTTTTATGAAGTATACTTCGAGCCATATGCTAGAAGAGGGCAAAGACTTATGGATCGGTTAGCTAATGGGTTAAGCTGGAATACAATGGGATAAATAATTTCTTTACATTCAAGGTTGTTTTTATTAACTAACTTATATATTACATACTAGTTTAAATGTTTTATGTATACCGCCCTAATTATTCTTATTGTCAATTAATTAATTGTATTTCATAATAAATAAGTTTACTCACTATTTTAAACATGATTGTTGTTGATGTATTGTTTAAAATGTTGATAGTCTATAAATTTTTACCATCTACGATTTCAGCATTTTTGAAGAGGACGTTAACTTCCGTGCATCGAAAGTGTAATATCTGATCAGGGCTTAGAAAATAAGGTTTCAGGAATTAGTCATGTCAACGCTGTTAATAGAGTAATGCAGTCTAGTTTCACCTAGTTTAAAGTGTAGCACGCATACTAAACGTATAAAAACATATAAGATGCCATCTAAATAATAACGAGTCGTCGTCGCCGTGCAAACGTTTGGCCAGAACGTATAATTAAGACTATACTACTAGATTATAAATCGCAAGGAGATTATAAATCATAAATAATCACTATTCAGGAGCTAGCAGCTAAAGCATGTTCCAAGTTTTATAATTTTAGCCGTTAGGCTTTAAGTAGACTGTAAGTTTTTTTTCTCGTTTATTCAAAATTGTTAATAGTTTTATTTAAGTTTTATTAAATTAATCGTAGACTCATCTTTGAAAATTATATGATAAATTATTCAATACAGAGCTTGTTAATTTAGCAACAAATACTGATAGACTGTAACTTTTTTTTCCTCTTTCGTTTCACTCGTGATCCACGTCACCATTATAAATTTTTCTTTATTTTAAATTAATCCTAATTAAACTAAACACTAATTAACTAGCACCTATGAGGTGTGTACTGAAATTACAAAAGACAGCTTATTTTCTTTAGTGGTTTATATAGAAATATAAAATGTAAATATAAAATTATATTGAAAAAATGAACCAGGTATATAAATAATTATTTAACGTAGGCAACCTAGGCAACCTAGCAATTTTCTAGTCTCAAGAAAACACTTTTAAAACTATGACTATAAAAATACATCTAATTGATTTCTGTCTTGACCATTTCAATAATTTAAATAAGTCACACTCACAAGCTTCAATGACCGTAAGTCCACGTTTTGTACATTATTATTAAGGAGAACGGAGAGCTCAAAATTGTATACAAATAAATACTAAAACAAACTTTTTAAAGTGTCTACTGAACCAAAATCAATTTTTTCTAATAAATCTAACTAATTTTCTAATAAATAAATGAAAAATCGGCAGTTTAGCCCCCATAAAGAAAATAGTAAACTTTCACTGTAACTCAGAGAAAAATAACTTTAAAAGTTTTACAACTGGAAAACTTTATACCTATTTACAATAAAAGTTAGTTGGCATACTTAAAATAGTTACTAGATCAATTTTTGTCAAATATTGCCTATCATTTGACCCTTAATAAATAGAGATTTCCATTAGCCTTAAGGTTTTGTAAATTTTTATTTTATCTAGCTTGCGATATATTTTATCGATGCAGCCAAATTTGTTAAATAACAAATATAAACAGGAAAATATTTAAAAAAATTACTTAAAATACTTAAACTTTATACAAATTTATTTAACTGTTGTTAATGACTTATACATTTTTTTGTCGATGTTTGATTTTAATTATGTATGCATGGTAATCATTTAACTTTCCTAATGTTCTTCCGAAATAACAGTATTGTTCTAGTTTATATATATATATTTTTTTATTATTAATTCTTTTATGGTATTGCAAATTGAAGCGTTGAGCGCAACAGTGGCCTATGCCATAAATCAGTTTAAAGGAGTAATACATTTTTAATTTCCATCGTGGAACATGAAATGTATTAATGCAAAAACGTATTCAGTTCTGCAATCTACTGGAAAATTAAAAAATCAAAAACAGGCCAGTGTTGCTTTAAAGTATGTTTAATTCTAAATAAAAATATATCATAACCTCAGTTTCTAAATGTTGCTGGGTTAAACCACTGCTGCACTCAACGTTGGGCCCACATAAAAACTAAAAATAAAAACAATGTAAAATCCAAACTTTCTGGGCACTGCATCGTAGGAAATAATTAGTTGTCATCTGTGTTTTCTTAAAAAGGGCTTCATCGTTTGTTATTATTTGAAGATAAAAATGATATTTAACATTTTTTTAATATCGTATGCCTTTGTTAATTTTTTGGCCGATACTATTGATATGAGTAATTATTTAATTTAGACGTGCCTAATCAATGTAGTAAATACAATTTAAAAAAAAATTTTTTACAGGTAAATATATTATAGAGTTTCAAATTACAAGTTAGTAACCAGTACATTTTTGTATAAATATATAATTTTTTTTTAAAATAATTGTTCAATCATTTGTTATAGACGAACAAATGGAAAGGGTTTTTAATACATTTTACGAAAATCTAAGTAAGACATACTAAAACTAAAACAACAGTATTTAATTGTTGCGTTATGTTTGTCTGAATATCAAATCGTTTATAAATTAAAAGTTATAGTTTTTAAAATCGGTTAAGATTAGTTTCTCACGAATTCAGATTCTTTTTTTAATTGTTTTTATAGCTTAAACCATTATTGTTTTTTCTAGATGGATTGGCCTATATAATTAAAAGAGTCATTCATGGAAATGCATATACATTCGGTAGTCATTATTTTATAAAATATTTGTATACCTATATTTTTTATTTTGTTTTTTAGAACAAATATCAGAACCCCACATCTCACTAGCTTCATAGACCATTTCAGTTGTAATTCATAGAGGATTCGTGAATAAAACAATGTTTATTTTTTTCAAGCTCCGATGTAAACTTTATTTCATTATAAACATGTTAACATTTAAATAACAAAAATACAAAAAAAAAAAAACCAAACAGTAAATTTATAACAAAGAAGTTTCCACTCCATTCAATAATTTAGAACGGAGATCATTTTTCCCAAACTGAAAATGCACATATGTGTTTTTTACCTTGATTACCTCATCTTCTAATTTGAAAGAAAAAAGAAAACTACATAACTTTTTAATAACTATTTATGTCATCTTAATTTCAGAGGAGTTAAGTTTTATGTTTGTATTACCGGGTAATAAACGTCTTAATATTTTACGGTCAAACTTCCACATAGTTATTCGGGTATTTAATGTTTTTCTTTTAATTTCAGATCAAGCAAACGTTTTTGAAATCAATAGTAATCATGTTTACATATTTGTTATTATATATATTTAATACTTTACACAGTCTTACATGTAAAAATTATAAAAATATATCGGGCATATAATACATAAACCTATTTACATATTTATTTAAATCATGAGAAAATATGTACATTCAAATTGAATTTGTTTTGAATTTTAGAATACATAGGGTACCAGAGAAAAATGCAAAATGAAATATTCATGGCCTTATGTATGTTTAAAATTAAATATAGCTATGCAACAATTTTTCAAGATTTTTGACTAGCAATCGTCCAGTGAAAAGGAACCGTCATCTACCTCTCCATCGACAGATTGACGACCCGTCCCGGATAGCGAATTCACCAAGAAACCATCTCGTGATGGCCCGTTAAACTAAATGATGATGATGTTTATTATAAAATAACGAAGAGCATTTTTATTAAAATTCAAATTTAATAAACAGTTTTTTTTATTTAAGTATTGATGATCATTCGAAACAGTGCAGCGTGGTCATTTAAATTATATAGATATACTGTGAATAAATATTTCTCATAAATTTCAACTCAATCCGATCATTTTTTCCAAAATTTTAGTCAGTTACAGTTGAAACTTTAATAACTTATGGGTTTTTAAAGGTATAGCTGTGAACTGATTCAACCTTTACCCCTTCAAAGTACCAAAACAATTTGTGTTCTATATAGTTACCCCTTAAAACAATTGGTCCAGTATTAAAAATTACAGTGTATACAAACATAAAAAAACAAAATAACTCATTAAGAAATTTAATCATTTTTCTCGATTTTGCAGAAGGAGAAATATTAGTTAAAAATGCTTTATTTTAGCTTAATAAAATAATAAATACTTTTTGGAACAAAAAAATAAAAATGTAGCTCCCAGTATTACAAAATTATTACATTTAATTTGTATTTTATTATAAAGGCCATGTATCTTTATAAACGCAAACATTTATTTTGGTTGGAAAAGCCTTATAGCCTAGTTTTGCTGTACATTTGGTAACGGCTGTATAAACACACATTTTATTATTTTTGCTTAATCACACAGCTTATGGTAGGTACACGTCTTACAATGGTGTAATATTTTATTTTTATATTTCGTTGTTTATTATTAATACACATCTGTGACCATTATAATAGTTTAATATGATTTGTTAGCTACGATTCGGAGCTGAACAGACATTGTATTTACAATACAATAATGTGTTTTTTTAAATTTTTTGTCTGGACCCTCGATATCTTTTAAGCCGCTAAACAGGTTTCTTTTCTGTAGATTAGATATCGTGCCCGAAAGTTACTTAATTAGGCGAAAAATTCACCCCTTCCCCTTCAAAATAAGGAAACATCCAAAAAATTGCATATTTATCAATTTAAAATAACGATGTTTGTTAAAATTACTTTGATTTTTATACAAATGCGTACACCGGTGACTTTCCGGTATTTACGATGACGTCATTGAACCTATACAAGACATTTTGTTGCCGATTAAGTCGACGATCGGCACTGAAGATGACAGTATAGTTTTTGAAACACGTATATGCGTTAAGTATTTCATTTTCGTGGATTGGGTTTTAATAAAATTTTGCTATTATAAATTTTACATTTACTATCCACCCTATCACCTACTTTTCAACTAATGCAACATATGACCTATGACGCTCTTTTAATTGTTTAGGGGCATGTGAAAACATACCAAATGTACTGGGCTAAAAACCAGTATCTTTTTCTTTGTTAAGTTATACCAAATAACAATGAATTAACGTTGTATAAACAATATTACTTGATTACACACAATTTTTCGAAGAACGACACATATCAATGCCAATAGGCTTTATACATAAGCAAACTGTGCGATAAAAGCCGGGCACAATCATTAGTTAAGTAACAAGGCTGAATTCAACTAACGAATTTTGTACACACTTGTTGTATTTTATACTTAAGGTATTCTTATCGTGTCAATGTAAGTTTAGGGCGTATAGATCTATTATACATAATGTATACATTTTATGGGTTTTTAGGCATGTGTAAATATGTCTAATCAATATTCTATGAAATATTCGAATAGATTCGATCGTTTTTTTGCGAAGATATATCAAATTAAAGTTGACGATTGGAAAACCGGTAATTTTTTTCGGTTTTGAGAATACGATTTTGGATATATAGAGGTGCTACACAAGTAAATTGGTAAAAAATTGAATAGGAAAAAAGTTACCATGACTACAGACAAAAACATAAAACAAATCGTTATAAAAACAATACATTCTCAGCTATCGCATCGAAGCTACAAAAATAGTAAACTGATATTAAAATTCAATTTGGTTGAACACTGGTAAAAGACAAAATAAGTGAGATTTTTTTTTTTAATGACGTACACAATTAAATGTGATCAAATACTCTAGTGTAAACACTAGTTCTACCAGTGGTTTATATAAAAATAACGTTAAAAAAATAAAATCTAAACCAATCGAAACAATGTAAATATAAAATCATGTAAAAAAAATTAACCAGTTCTGTAAATAAATTAATACAGGCATCTAATAGGATGACATTCACAAGGATTTCGTAAGAAACCCACTTTAAAACGGTTAGTATAAAAAGTTAGTCATATTTATTTCTGTCTTAAATCCACGGCCATTTCAATCATTTATGTAAATGACACTCGCAAACTACAACGACCAGTAAATTCACATTTTGTACATTATTATTAAGGTACTTATTTCAGTTATACAATGAATTTTATTAAATAACACTTTTTTTTGAAACTAATTTTTTGCTAAAGAAATACTGAAAAATAACTAAAACATATATTTGAAACGCTTTAAATTGTATACAATTTTATTTAACTATTGTTAATGACATACGAATTTTTTGTTGACGTTTGATTTTATTTATATATATAGGGTAATCATTAAACTATTTCAACATTTTTCTGAAAGCACAGAATTATTATAATTTATTTTTTTTATTGGTTCTTTTATGTTATTACAAATTTTGTTATGACTAATCAAAATCTTTATTAACTTTCTATCAACTAAGCAGATGTAGTGAAATAGGTATGTTATAATATATCCCGAATGCCTATTAACTACATTATACCATTCCAATATGTTTTGTAACAACTATACCCAAACAAAACAAACAAACAAAAATTAAAATTAAAATAAAAACATAGTGTAAAAGCAATATATTTCGAGCTCTGCATTGTATAAAATAAATGTTGGCGTCTGTGTTTTATTAAAAAGGCTTTATTGTTTGTTATTATTTGCAGATAAAAATGGTCTTTTACATTTTTCTATTTTCATATGCCATTGTTAATGTTTTGGCAGATAATATTGATTTGAGTAATTATATCATTTGGACGTACTTACTTAAAATGGTTAAAAATCTAAAAAAAAGTAATTTGTTACAGGTGAATATATTACAGAGTACTATATTACAAGTCAGTAACTTTTATGTTTTTAAATATAACTGTTTTTTTTATATACTTTTTTAACAATTTATTACAGATGAACACATGCAAAATGCTTTTGACACAATCGGTAATCATGGTAATCTGAGTAAGACATACTTAAAATTATATACACTAGTAAATAATTGTATTGTTATGTTTACCTTTTATCTTCTTCTTCTTTTTTTTGCAATACATGGTGTATGAAATCGGTAATAGGGTTCCATTTCTCCAATGATGAAACCACATGTCTTACCATTGCTTCTGGGTTTACCTTGGATCCTTTTAGGGTGTTCATGCGATTTCTTAGGACGTGCCATGCATTACATTCAAAGAACGTGTGGTAGGCATCATCGCTATTGTGGTCGCAATACCATCAAGAAGGATCATTTATCTTACCAAATATGTGCAGATTTGCCGCAAAGCAGCCGTGGTCAGTCTGTGCCTGTGTTATGTGATAATTAGCTTCTCTGTGCCGTCTATTCATCCAAGCTTTAATGTCTGCAATTAGTCTGTAGGTCCACCGGCCCTATTCAGCCGCTGTCCATTTGGTTTGTCATGTCTTGAGCAGCTTTATTCTTGTTTCTGTATTGATGTATTCGTAATTGTTATCTCCTTGTATTTTTGACCGGTGTGTTTCTTTTCGTTCCGTTGCCATAAGGTTTATCGGAGGGATTCTTGCCACTACCAGAATTGTATCAGCAGAACAGTATAGTATGCTAAGGCAACTTTGAGTGCTTCTTTTCTCTGGATTTTTGTCCTGCTTTTTCCACCCCATTTTGCTCTTAGTACCTGACTAAATTTCTGCGCCGTACAGCAATTTCGAGTGTACGACGCTAACTAAGAGTCTCCTCCCTTCTGTGCTGGGTCAGTCCTTGACATAGTGTCCTTTTTCTTGACATGTGTTGCATGATTGCTCTTTAGTGACGAAGTCCGTGATCCGGCATACTGCCCATCCAACATAAATCATTTTTGCGTTAATCAGATTAAGCCCTGCTCTAATCGGGGCCCGAATGAGGGCTGTTCTAATTCCATTTTTGCCTTCGCCAATAACAAAGTCATGAATGTCATTGTCAAAATCTACCAGAGCGTTTCTAAGTTCGGCTTCTTCGACCATATCCTCAATTTCTATGAGGAACAAAGGGACGCTCGGGGGCAGGCGCCTAATGTCCACTGACTCATCCATACTAGCTTTCAACGCTGTGGCAAGGATGTCGGCCTGATCTTTCTCGGGGATTTTGAGAATTATATTTTCAGATTTTGCCCTCCTGGTGGTGATGTCATAGGCGAGTTACTCATCCTGAACAACGGGCTTAACTTCCCTAACTATATCGGCATAAGTTACTGTGCCGGTGGGGCGTTCGAGTACTATCGATTGTTTCTTTGGGGGGGGGGGGGCATAAGCGTCTAATACTTAAATTTTGAAATTAAAATAATTTATATTATATAATGTATATACACTTAACGCATAGTGTTTTTGTGTTTTGAATATGTACACATCAATTTATTATGATCCTATTCTAAATTGTTTTTATTTGTCAAACCATTATTGTTTTATTCTAGATGGATTGGCGTTTACAATTAAAAGAATTATTCTTGCAGATGAATATACAATGGGTACTCATTTTTTATAATAATAAAATAATAATGATAATCGAACAATATATATGACATTGAAATACAAAGCCTCTTTCTCATCTCTACCCTAGAAGTACTTGAAGTACGGGAAATGCTTAGGGTTAAAGTTATGGAAATATTAGGCTACGTACATAATTCGAACTCACACAATTCAGTCCAGTGGTATTGGATTATTACATTTTTAATTCAGTAAATTTTTTTATTGAAGTTTCCACTCTATTCAAATATATAACCAAAGCAATTTTAACGAATTAAATATGTACGTATGTGTTCCTTACCTCGTCTTCTAATAACGCACGCCTTCTAATCTAAATATATAAAAATGAATATATGTCTGCCTGTTTGTCTAACCTTTATGCGTTAGTTCACTAATCATCCGATCACCATAAAACTTTGGGAAGTTGATAAGTACACTCCCGCAAAGGATTGTGGCATAGTACATTTTGAAAATTCCACCTCTAAGAGTGGCCTCAAACACGAATTTTGTACTTTAAATACAAAATATTTTTCGTTGCTAACCCGAAATAAACACTTTAGTACACCATTCATCCAAATATTTTACTCAGCCCTTGCTAAATAAATCCTGGGCAATATTTATTTTTAATGTCAACATTTAAAATCAAATAGAAGACTACAATATAATTAAACATTTTTTTTTATGTAATCTTAATTTCAGAGGAATTGAATTATATGTTTGTAATACCGGGTAATAAACGATTTATTAGTTGATGTAAAAATTCCAACACAGTTGTTTGAAGTATTAAATGCTTTTTTTTAATTTCAGATCAAGCAGACATTTTTGAACTCAATAGTAATTGATTTTTATATATTTAATTCTATCATGAGAAAAAAACTACATTAAAACTGATTTTTATTTAATTTTAGAATACATAGGATATCAGAGAAAAATGCAAAACGAAATAATCATGGCCTTACGTATGTTAAAAATTATATATAGTTACGCAATACTGTTTTCTTCTTCTTCCTATGGTACTTGATACTCTCTAAGAGTTTTGGCCGCCATCACAATATCCCTCCATTTCTCTCGATCCTGAATTAATTCTCTCCATTCCTGTACTCCCAATTTTTCAAGGTCTTCTTCCACAACATTCGACCATCTTTTCCTGGGCCTCCCTCGAGATCTTTTTCCCATTGGTTTCCAGTTTAGGACTGCTCTACTTATATCATTCTCGCTTCTTCGCATCACGTGTCCTAGTCATTGAATCCTTTGCCCTCTAATGAAGCTGATGACTGATGCAATTTCCAATTCGTCTTGCAGTTTTTTATTAAATTTTCTTCTCCAAGTTGTATTTTCGGTATCATAAGTTGATCCACAAATTGTGCTCCAAATTCTGTTTTCAAAAGTCCTGAGCATTCTTTCGATTGTACTGGTGGTAGACCATGCTCCACAGCCATAGGCGTAGGCCTTATTATTGCCGTATATAGTCTCGCTTTGGTTTTCTTTAAGAACAATTTTTATTTTAAGAACTTACTTAAGGCAAATGACGCTCGTTCAGCCTTTGTTATCCTGACTCTATTTCAACCAGTTTTAGTACTCAACGCAGCTCCTAAGCACCGAAATTCATCAACTTTTTCAAAAGTTAGGGACCCCGTATCAGGGTTGTCTCCGTTATCTAGCAACTCCTGTATTTTGGTTTTTTCGGCATTGATTTTCAACCATATCTTGCTGGCTGCTTGCTCGAGGGCTTGGGCTGCTTTTTCCGTATCCTCCATGAAGATTCCTTATATATTAAAATCATCTGCAAAACCCAGTACATCTATATGTTGTTGACCGATCGCTACTCCAGTTGTTTCCATTTGTATTTCCCTTTTAGCTTTTTCCACAAAAATTTTTTAAAATTGATTATTATATAAAAACGATGAGTATTCAATTTGAGTTCAAAGTCAAAAAACAGTTTATTTTTTACTTTGAGTTTTGATGATTATGTAAGGTAATATTCATATCGGTAATTCTAGCGGGACAACTAAATGTTATTTAACGTTTAAGCAATATTTTAGATTAGCTAATCAGAATAGCATATTTTTTTCAATTTGTATGTAATTTTTATAAATAAAATAGACTTTTTTTTAACTAATATAATATTTTGATATTTTATTGCAGATATTGATAGACCTTTCTACAACAGACGTAAGTACGCATTATAATGCTAATTTACTCTTCAAATGTAGATTATTAATCATCATTTCTATGAGATAATCTATTATATTTTGATTGATTTCTCGAATAAAAAAACATTTACGTCATCTCCATTAATACAAATTACTAATAACTAATGAAGGCAATTAGTTTTGAAAAGGTCACATGTCTTCCGTAGTTTTTAAAATTGACAGTGATCCAGACCACGGTTATATACTTATATTGGGGGATGACAAGGTACATAAATAATCTACTATTATATTCTTTTTTTCTATAAACCTTGAGGGATTATAGCTGCTATATCGCCCGTGTCATTGCTAGTTTATTTGGCACAAGATTTAAATAAAATTGCTAGTGGAACATAGAACCAACAATAAGTTTTTTTTTTGTAATAGTTAATAAAGGGTTTTGAAGATCGATTACACACGGTCGTGCATACTACAGTGTAGTCAATATTCAAGGATAATATATGATATGTAAAATATTATTTCAAACTATTTAACTACAAAATACACAGAGTTAGCTTTTTCAGGATACATGAATCAAAATAAAAGCGAATAGGGATCGAATTAAAATTAAAGGTATTATTAAAAGATGAAGGATAATGATGATTAAATAAAGAATATGTACATCACGTCTAGAATAATTCTTAATCAGTTCTTTGAATCATTTTTAAATTTATTTCCATTATGATTTGTAATAAAAGGTAAATAAAGGAATAATTTCTATTCTTTTTTTGTAATTTTAACGTTCTAGAAAAAATGCGTATAAATGATTATTGACTATTACTTAAAAATTAAGAAAGGGTATGTGCTTCCATGTAGTAGTTTGCTATCTGACTATCAGTGTTTAAGTTTAATGCAGTGCTACATAGAATACCAGTAAAACTGTCTAAGCCAATCTGAGTAGATAACCGTGATCAAGACTCAAAAAATAATAACACATCATTGTAAAAAAAATATATTCTCAGCTTCATACAAAGGCAAAAACTTATATTTATTACTTGTAGCAACACGGATGTATCACTTTTTTTTACAGTTGTCGATTTGTCAGAACTTGGAGATAAAAGAAGAGAATTGACTAGAAAGGCTTTATTACAACTGCTATTCTTCGACTTGTATCGTAAGCGTTTATTTAAATTTATTACAGTTATTAAAAACATCACTTTTTTAACAACTCATTTACAGACATACATATCAAAGATTCGTGCATATCATAGTAAAATGCAGTAGTTTGTTTTATAATAACATAAGCAATAAACGCAGACAACATATAGATATTTATATTTGACTCTGTTAAGTTGAACCTTAAGTTCAGCAACTGTTCTCAAAAAAGGAAGAAACAATAAGTTCTTCTAGAGAAAATAGTTTTTGATTTTTTGTCGTTTGTGAATGTACATTGATAGGTAACACATATGACGTTTCGAGAGCAAAAGTATAGTAAGTTACGGAAGTTAAAAGTAGGAATTATACTAGATATATAATTATATTAGACGTTTATCTGGTGTTTGACCGTCTTTCTACCAAGTTGTTGTCTAATAATATGTTGTAAATAATTATTGATAATAATACAACTTTATTAAACAAACACACTGTATGATTTTTCATGCATATTTATTTGTCGTATCTTTCATTATAAAGAAAACTAGTAACTAGTAAGTTAAATTGAAATTGTTTTCTTTTTTCAAGATTTAAACGATGAAAATTATACTTTTAAGCAGAAATGTATTTTAATTGGATTGGCACTGAGTACAAAATATCCAACACATTATACAAAATCTGTTGATGTGGAAAACGATACAGTTTGTGTCATAACGGATATAAATGGCATGACTTCTAAGTACAAAGAGATAAAACGAGAAAACGATTTTTATCAAATACAAAACAAGCGAGTTTATGGAACGAAGCGAAGTCTTTTTGAACAGTTAGATCTCGAAGCATAAGAATAAAAAATTGCTTTATATTTAAGCTTTTATTTTTAAATATTGTTTAAAAATTAACTAATAAATTTCACAGTATTTTAGCGATTATGTTAAAATAATTGTCTGCATACCACCTTATATCCTTTTTGTGAAATAATCGAAAGTTTAAATCAATAAAACATATTTAAATAATCAGATTGTATAGCTGCTATGTTAATTATTACTAAATCCTTATGGTTATAAACTACTCGTATAGTACAATTTGTACCAAAAAATCTTGGAAAAAAATATTTTTCAAAATATTAATATACTCCGAGAAAATGAGTGTCTTATCCTTAATGAATCACCCTGTATAATGTTGGAATTTCTGTAGTCATCCACAATCCTATAAAACGACATGTCATGTGGCTAAAAGTGGCGTCTGGTTCGTTGCCATCTAAAAACATAACAGACAGCATAATATACGTTTTACAACTATGTATAATGTCGTTTTCATTTTTCGATGTTTACTTTTGATACGCAGCTGCACTGAAATTTCACTTGCAAACTATTGCATTTAACTAGCAAAATAATCGTACAGTCAAAAATTAAATTTAGCTTTTTCGATAGGCCAACTTCACATACGTTTTCACAACCCACCTTTGGCGTTCTTGGTAGATTATTTCGGATTATTAAAATGTAAAATAAGTAGCATTTCCTTTTCTCGATCGAATGACTTATACATTAAAATATGGTTAAAGTTTATAATCTTAACACTAGTTTCACGAGACATTTATAAAGAAATAACTGTTAAGAAAATAGTCTTAATACCACGGCAGAATAATCTAAATATGAAATGATATTGAAAAAATTAACCAGCTATGTAAATAAATGAAATTAGGCACCCATTGTCTAGTCACAGAAAAGCAACTTTAAAACTATTAGTATTAAAAGATATTCGAATTGATTTCTGTATTAAACCCTCGACCATTTCAATCATTTAAGTAAGTGACACTCGCAAACTTTATAGATCGTAAGTCCGCATTTTCTACATTCATATTAAAGTTTTGTACTTTTGTATCTAGCCTGCGATTAACCATGCTGCTAATTTCATTAAATATCAAATCCTTTTTTTTTCATTTATTGTTTTAGAAAAAGTAAACAAATTATTTGATACACTATATTTTGTATATTAGTTAACGATTGTTAATGATATATGCATGTTCTTGTTGATATTTTATATTTTCATGTATGCAGAGTAATCATTAAATTTATCTAACGTTTTTTTCAAAATAACAGTATTATTGTAGTCGATCATTTTTTTAAATTACTTTCATTAATTTTCTTAACTTTCTCAGCTCTGCATCATAGAAAAAAAATAAATAGTCAAATCTATATTTTATTAAAAAAAGTGTTAATGTTCGCTATTATTTGCAGATAAAAATGTTATTTTACATTATTTTCATATCATATTCCTTTGTTATTGTTTTGGCAGATAATATTGATTTAAGTAATTATTTAATTTAGACGTACTCATTCAAGATAATCAATAAGCTAAAAAAAAATAATTTTTTACAGGTGAATATATTACAGAGCTTTACATTACAAGTCGGTAACCTTAAAGTTTTTAAATAAAATTGTGTTATTTTAAAATTTTATTTTATTAATTTATCACAGACGGATACATGGAAAAAGCTTATGACATGGTTGGTAATCATGGAAATCTGAGTAAGATATATTTAAAATTGTTACATCATCATCATTAGTTTAACGAGCCTTTAAAGCCCAACGCTGCCATTATAAGATAATAGTTTCTAGATGGATTCACCGTCGCCATCTCAAATCATCTCAATTTTACTATACCCACCACAAAAATAATACACTATATCGTATACGTTCTACAACAACAGCGTTACCATCTTCAGTGCACACAACAGACTATGCTGCTGCCGAATACGTGTGCGATACAGATTACAGAGTATTATTGTTGTGGTTAATGGTTTATTTAAATATTTAACTATTTTATAATATATAACCACAAGTGTTGCTAACATTTTTTCTAGATCATTATTATATTATTCTAGATGGATTGGCGTATACAATTAAAACAACTATTGGTCGAGATGCATATACAATGGGTAGTAATTATTCTATAATATAAAAATTAATAATGATGAAGCTTGATAATAGAAAAAAGATACACTTCAAATTTATATAAAACTCCTCTATCTCACCTCTTCCCTTAAACCACTTGGAGTACGGGGAATTTCACTAATCTCCCAAGTGGAATTCCTATTAACATTTTATTCATCATTCTACGGTTAGAGTTCCCAGACAGTAATAAAATATATTTGTATGGCCGTTCAAGAAACCCAATCAGGACTCCTAAACATAATATGTTCATATCGGTTTCGTAGGAGCTCCCGAAGTGTACTAAATATTATATTTGATGTACTGACAGAATTCTATATTTATGTATAATAATGTAGATTTAATACCATTTTTACATAATTGAAAATGTTCCTACGTGTAATTAGGCTTAATTACATTATCTTATAACTTCTAAATAGAATAAACAACTGAGTTACAGTTTTAAAATGAATTTATTTTTGTTTAATTTCAGATGAATTAAATTTTATGTTTGCAATACCGGGTAATAATCGTCTTAACGTTTTATTGTAAAATTTACATATGGTTGTTTGAAGTATTAAATGTTTTCGTTTTTATTTCAGATCAAGCAGACGTTTTTGATCTCAAAAGTAATCACTTTTACTTACGATATTTATAATACGCTGTCTTATATGTACACTATTAATGTGTATATATCTAGAATAATCATATTATACTTGTATTTACATATTTATTTGTATCATAAACAAAGTAGTAGATTAAAATTTAATTTGTTTTTAATTTTAGAATACCTTGGACGCCAAAGAATATTGCAAAACGAAATATTCATGGCCTTACGTATGTTTCAACTTATATAATTTTATGCATACAATTTACAAAGTTGATTATTTATAACTTAAACAATATTTTACATTAGTTAGTTGGTTTTGCATTTTTTTTTTAAGTTTGTATGTTTCTGATATAAATCAGATCTTAAATCTTAAATCTCTTAAATCTTAATTTAAAACTGTTTTTTTATTTTGATATTTTATATTTTATTGCAGGTATTGACAAGCCTCCAATAAGCAGAGGTAAGCACGCATTATAGTTGTAAATTGAGTTAATCAATGTTATTTTTGTTAATTTTTTTTGTTGAAAAAACTTCCTAACTAGGAGGTTTAAGGTAAAAGATAAGTAATTGTGTTTGGTGTTTTTCAAATTTTTGAAGGAGAAGTTGTGGTACATTTAAGGACTTGAACGATTCAATAAAGAAAAAATATTTATGTATGGCGTCTATTGTTCTACAATCTATCCATTGATTTTTTTTTGAAGTGAAACTTCTTTATTGAGTGTACGAAAAAAGAAAATAATTGGGTGTGATGGTCGGTTACGGTCGATTTTCGATTTTTTTCTTTCTTTAAATCTTTTTGAAACCAAAGTCAATTATAGATAGAGCAAGCATGACCGAACTGATTATTTGTAAAATTATCGTTAAAGTGTTTGTAAGCAAATTTATGTACTTGAAAATTGTTAATATTGTGTTAGGGTTGTGTGCTTCGTTTACGTGTATTAGATCTCTAATAAACTATTAAACTAACCTTTGGCTTGAATAACTTAATTGTGTGTTGTCATCCTGCAACTTTTGTTTTGCAGTACCAATAGCCTTTTAGCTCTACATCGAAGCTGAAATATAATCTCAGCTTTGCACCGATGCTAAAGCTTGTATTTATTTCTTGGATGTTTATTTTTTTTTTTTTTTTGCAGATGTTCATTGGACAGAACTTGGATGTAATAGAAGAGTAATAGTTAGAAAGGCTATAATACAACTGTTCGTTAACGATGTATACCGTAAGCATTAATTTAAAGTTATAATATTTTCGTTTTTTTTACCATACAATTTATTCATACTAGTTTAATTGATTAATTTAAAAAAAAAATTACAGAAATATGTATCACAAATTCATTCCTATTTCAGTAACATGCAATAGTTTTTTGTTATAATAATATAAGTAGTAAACACACACAAGACATGTTATAGTTGTCTCTTTTGAATATTTAGTTTTTGTTTATTAAATACCCGTTGAGATCTGTTATCTGTCACTTATGAAAAGAGTTTTAACGCCAAACCTCTTACATGACGTTAAATATGTAATTATTTACAAGAATATAGTTAATCTAAAAAAAATTGTCCAGCACTTGTGGTTATATATTATACATTAATTAAATACTTGTAATATTTTGACATTTGAAATGTATACTTATATTAAATCTAGCTTCCATTAACATACAAATATTTTTTTTTAATAAAAAATCTACTTCAAAATTATATTGAACAGTGCATAACTTCAGTTTCCAATGGCAATGTATTTTTTAATTAAATAGCTCCAATGGGCCTAAAAAAATAAAATATGAAACAAATTACGGTTTAGACTTTTTTAAATGTAGTTTGTACAATTTCACTAAATAATAGATTCAATGTATCGTCTTTGGGCCAAAAAAATCTTTGATGTGCAAAATCCTAATTTTTCAGAACACCAAAAAAAAACATTTAAAAATTAACAAATCATTTTTAAGACACGAAAATAAGCAATATATTAGAATTTATACTTGTGTGTTAATTTATGTAAGGGATAATTATAAAATAAAATACATAGTATTTTTGTTATTCAGAGTTTTCAGCTTTTTTGTTACATAAGAAGTTACTTTTACTAAAACTTTATCAGTCATATAGGACATAACAATTACTAATGTTCTATAGCCAAACTGCACCATAATTGACTTTTATTATAACTGCCATAACAAAATGATACATTATTTTATATCGAAACATATTCATTCTTTTAACAACTAATATTAAAAAAAAATCATTTAATACAGTTTATAAAAGTACTAAATTTATAAGTAGTGTGAAAAATGTATCAATACAAAAAACCAATTGGAACTGTAACTGCAAAATATAATATTTAAGAACTATGAGGCATGAACATCAGTGTTTATTTCTAGACGTCAGTTTAACAAACAGTAAAATTAATTACTTAATATGAAATATGAATAACTAAATAAATAGAATAAAATTGATAAAATGGCATTGTTAAGACGCGCTAGTTCGCGCGCAATTGGTTATCAATTTATTTTTATCATACTATTATGTTGTATACAAATGTCCTATATAACATTCATACCAAATAAGAGGTATTCAGTGAACTGATGTGCATTTTTAAACTATCTTATGTGATAATATGGTAACACATAAAAGGCATTTTTTAATTTAGTATTCACATAAGATATTTAATAACTTACCTTTTTCGTAAAAACCATATTTTTTTTTACACGTCGGAGGTTTTTTCAATTTATAGGTTATATTTTTGGAAAATATTGATACCAAAATGTCAATTTTGCACATATAAGTTTTTTTCGGCCCAACGGCGATCTCTCTCTATATATACATATATATATTCGTCCGTGTTCCTCACATGTTAAGCAAATTGTTGTTTTGAAATAATATAGCCGTAGTGTATGGACATACTTTATATTTAATTGTGTTTCTTTATACACATATTTTATTAGTTGTATCTTTCACTATAAAAAAAAAAATAGTATCTAATAAGCTAAATTGACACATTTTATAATTTTTTTAAGCTACAAACGGTGGTACTTATAGTATAAATCAAAAATGTCTTTTAATTGGATTGGCATTGAGTACAAAACGTCCATTACAATATACAGAATATGTTGAAGTGAAAAATAATTGTACTTGTGTCATAAATAATGTAAAAGGCATTCATTCTTTATATAAAGAGTTTGACAACGAATTTTATGAAGTAGAGTATGAGCAAGGATGTATACAAATTCAAAGCCTAATTGAGCAGTTAAATATGGAAACATTTGGATAAAAAACTCCTTTACAGTCAAGATTATTTTTAATAATTAACTCATAAATTACACAGTACTTAAATTATTATATTTAAATCGTTTTATGTATATCGTTCTTATTATCCTTGTTGTCAAATAATTAAATGTATTTCATAATAAACAGTTTTGTTCACAATTTTTAACATGATTGTTGTAAATGTATTGTTTAATATTAATACTTTATGCATTTTTACCATCTACAATTTGAGCGTTTTTTAAAGGGATTTTATTACTTCAAGACATTCAAGTTCTATACCTTATTCGCTTCTCTACTGCATTTATTACCATTTCTTTGCATTATTTTTCCTAGTTAGTTTAGTTTTTCTGTAATTAATCCACCCAACTCAGTCTTGGGCATCTAAGTGGTTTGTAATTCGTCCAGACCATTTAAATCATTTCCAGGGTCTTGTACCTGCTATACGTCTTATCCTGCATACTTCATTTTCTGATATTCAATATTCCAACAATACATTTTTTACCTTCCCCCCCCCCTCAAGTAATTGTTAACCTGGGAGGAAACTGTTTGCACACTACTTCCTCCCAGGCAGGCAGCGTCGTTTATTAGCATCCACTACAAAAAATTGGAGTTATAAAAATCCCGTTTTCCTCTTCACGAGGCGGGCTCGCCATTTTGCGATGCCTCTATCTCTCGTCCTCCTCTTTCCTTGAGAGGACTGCATTGGCATAGTCGGCTCTGGTCCTCCATTGGTTCGAGGATCTCAGCATATGGTCTTCTGCGCTGTCTGGCGCCCAATCTATACCCAACTCTGTCACCAGTGACCACCTGAGTTGGCACCACCAATAACTTTTTTACCTAGAATTACTTTTAGATGTCGAGTTATTATATCTTATATACTACAGTCATCTAATATGTATTCTTCTACTTCAAGTGATCCTAGTAAGTTTTGAGTATTTAAGTACAATTTAAGTTTTTACTCATATTTATTATTTTTTTTTTTTTATCAAAAAGCCAATACAGTGGGCTCGGCGCATAGAGGACGGGGAGTTTACTGGTCTACAGAAATTATAGTAAGTAAACGTGATTTTATACGAGTAAGCTAGTACAGTGGGGTCGAGGCATTTTGGGGTCAAATCATAGTGGGGACGGAGAGGTCAGATTTCTATAGGAATAAATTATTATAAATATAAAATTCTTCTTCTTTATCTTCGCCTTACACTGCCAACTACATCGGGTCGGCCACCCTAGTCCTACACCTCCATAGAGCTCGGTCTTCCACTTCCTCTTTTTCCCTCTACATTCATCTACATTCATCTTCATAACACCAATCACTGCCTGTGCCTCATATCTTCTCATAACATGACTGAACATCTCAACCTATTCTCTCTTATTTTCTTTACAATTGATGCAACTCCTAGACTGCCTTTTATGTATTCATTTTTTATTCTATCTTCCCTAGTCACTCCACTCATCCATCTTAACATTCTGATCTCCACTACACTCTGCATTCTCTGTTCCGTTTTGCCCAACATTCCGACCCATATAACATTGCTGGCCTCACTACCGACCTATAAAATTTACCTTTCAATCTTATAGGCATCCTTCTGTCACACAAAACACCCAACAATCCCATCCACTTCATCCATCAACAAATTATTCTATTTTTCACATCCTCTTCGTACCCACCATTTTCTGTACCACTAATCCTAAGTACCTAAACCTATCAACCTCACACACTTCATCATCACCCATCTTCATTACGTGTCCTACGCTATAACCTTCTCCAAATTCAAACAAGATTGTCTCCGTTTTACTATTACTAATCCTCAGCCCTTTCTCTTCAAGCGCCTCTCTCCACTCTTCAAGTCTCTCGCCCAATTCTTCCGGACTTCCTCTCACTAACACTACGTCATCCGCAAACATCATTCACCATGGCCCGGCCCACTGTATATCTTTCGTAATCTCATCCATTACTAAAGAGAACAAGTAAGAACTCAACGCTGAACCCTCACAATTTAAACAAAAAATAATATGTTAAAATTATAATATAAGCGATATAATTTTTATTAAGTTGCAATCATACATTTTCATGGAAATGTAAATATTCTAACACCTCCAATAAATGGTATAAAGAGAATATCTTTGTTGAGATGTTAAAATTCTTAATTATAATGTTAAAAGAATAAAGAATGAAGAATAATGAACATTTGAAGGATTTCAAATATTATTTCACCACATATAAATGAGTCTATAAAGTAAGCTAGGTTCAGTAAAATAATATTTAATTGACTCCAAATATATTTCTCAAAAAATTTAGATGAGACTTTTGTATGGAATGATAATATTATTATTCTACTAGCTGTTTTAGCTAGGTTAAGCAAATTTATTTTTTAGTTCAGTTTCAAATAGAATTAAAATTGTAAATATATGGCAAAAACCGGATCGTTTTAATATGTTCTGCTGTTGTAGACGTTCTAATAGTATTACTATTTGTACAAATGCTTCGACTACCAATATATTATATTCGACCGTTTCTTTGTATTAAAATAAGCAAATTAATTGTACGTACCTGCAGTATGTTTTGTCTATAAAAATGTTTTTATGTCAAAATGAAAATTTAAACAATTTTATATGTAATACATTTTTTTTACTCTAGTTAGATTTTCTTTTAGACTATAGATCTAAAAACTACGGTAAAAAAACAGGTTCCTTCTTTTTTAAGAAAAAAAGTTAAGGATGTTTTCTTAAGTACCATATAAACATTCCCTAAATATTTCAACTAGATCCGACCATTTTTACCTAACCTAACCGCATAAAATATAAAATATAGATTTTGTACATATAAGAAACAAAAAAGCTTTTACTTGGTATTTTACAATTTAATTATGTCTATATTGTTATGGTGTTAATTGAATGTCAAGCATATGTAATATACCGTTAAAAAGTTTTAATAAGCCTTGTGGGTATCGAAGAATATGCTAAGCTACACTAACCTCCGATACGTAGCACTACTGAAAAAAATTGTGATTTAAATTCACTTCAATTATTAAATTTGGCACTATTCGTGAAGGAATATGTATGCAGGTCTCTGTAGCGGATTTTCAAATGCAGTATGACAACAATCGCCTGAGCGCAGCCCAACAAAATTTTGTTTTTTACATGATAGCAATTAAATAAAATCACTAATTACTAAAACTAATGAAAAAAATTAATAAATAACCATTTATTAACCTTAAAACCTTAATATGTGTTTTAGAAACACTCAAATATAACCGTGGTAACGCTGTATTGTTTGAACGAGTCTCAGCTTTTTTGTTGAAATTTGTATCAACTTAATACAATTTTAACACGTACACGTGTTTAATCGACTATACTTAGAATATACATATATTTTAGAAAGAACAGCATTATATTATGACTGTCCATTGCTTGTTTACTATAATTTTTACGAAATTTCAGGATAGCGGTCATTTTTCAGAACTTAACTGTGACCCTAATGTAAGATGTTTACGGATTTTGCTGTGAAAGTACAGAAAATCCTAAAGGAGTGTTAGGCCAACCTGGACGTCCATTGTGATTAAAGTATAGTAGCTAAATGACACGCTGACAAATTCTGAAACCCAACTTAACTCGGAAAATATTACTATAGTCGTCAGTTAGATTTAGGTGATATGCTTTCCTCTCCTCCGTCTAAATGATATGAAAAGTTAAAAATATCATGGTAGTTCTTGTTTATTTTAGTTGAAAACTCGTAAAAGATAGAATAAGTAAGATATTTCTTTCGATTAAATGACATACACACTATTAAATATAGTTAGAATCCCTAATGTAAACACTAGTTTACGAGTGATTTATAAAGAAATAACTGTTAAGAGAAGTAGACTAAATACAAGGGCAGAATAATATAAATAAGAAATCATATAAAAATAAGTAAACCACCTATGTAAATAAACTAACGTAGGCACCCATTGGCTAATCGCAAAAAAGCCACTTTAAAACGATAAGTATAAAAAGATAATAGATTAGATTTTTGTTTAAAAGCTCGACCATTTCAATGATATTGAGTGACACTCGCCTACTTCAAAGACTGTAAGTTCAAAATTGTTTTATATTTTATTTGGTTTTTCTAAGTTTCTATTTTGTATTTATGTATCAAGCCTTTGCAAATTTTAACCATGCTGCCCATTTCATTAAATAGCTAAGCTTTTTAAAGCCTTGTGTTGATGTAAAAATCTCAAAAAAAAAAATTTTATTTGAAATACTATAATTTTAATACAACTTAATATTGAATTGTTGTAAACGACATTCATTTTTTTGTTATTTGATTTTTGTTGTTGTATATTATAGGGTAACCATTAAACTTATCAAACGTCATCATGAATAACAGTACAATTATGGTTTCTTTTTAAAATTATTTTCATTGGTTCTTTTTTATTATTAAAATGTTTTAACAACCATTAATTTTTTTTAATAAAATACCTAAATGTAGCGGAATAGGTACGTTATAATATTTCGTAAATATCTATAATCTAGCTGTTCCAGTATGTTCTGTAACCATTATACCCCATCGCCAAAGTTAGTTCTTTTTTGTTTTTTCATACAAAAATGAACCCGTTCGATTATACCAAATAAGCGCTACAGATAAAATATTAAAAAAATTCCTTTTTTTTTTTTTTTTTCTATATTTGGTAGTACTTTGTTTCAAAAAAAATTATACATTAATTCGACTATTTTTAAAATATGTTTAGTAACTTGTTGGTGTCGTAGTATTAAGTAGAAAAATTTGTTTTTTATTAGGGTGTTTACAGGTCATATATTTTCCTACGAATTGCTTAAGGCCAGATATTATAAAATCACTAAAATATAAGCCAGAAACTTGATATGTTTACTAGCCACCTTAGATACTAGATTGTTAATATACTATTTCATTATCTATAATTCCACCAGTACTCTAAATTTATTTGGTACTTCAACGAGACATGAAAATGCTCTTTCTTGGTTGCAGACTTGGCTGAAAAACTTCATTAACCTATATTTAAAAATTTGATGGCTCAACAATTAAAAAAAAACTATGGCAAAATATACATATATACAGTGAAAATAGATACAAACATAATTAATTGTAGTATATATAACTAATAGTAATATTATGTACAAAACCAAAACAAAGAGAACAAAGGAAAATATAAAATAAAATAAAATAGTAGAGATTTAAATAGAACAGCCAGCGCTCAAAAGGAAAGAAATGATGGCAGTAATAATAAGAACTGAACGGGAATTGAGGGCGTTATAAAGATCGGGATTTGGGATACCGTGGGATGCAAAGAAATTAAAGAGAAAGATTATACTAGGAACAAGAGAAAGACAATTGAATATGAAGTAAGAAAAATCGCCGACAGCTTCTTCAACATGTAAATGACAGAAAAAAACAGAATTAAGGGAAAATTTGTAGGAAAACGGTGTAAGACGGAGAAGTAAGAAATGCATAGACTTGGGATATAAAATGCGCATCCCGACTTTGATGGAGATATCGAACCATCAGTGAGAATTAAGCAGAAACGGGAAAGTTGTTAAGGATGTATTGTGAGAAAAGATTATTAACGATAAATGAAGATAGGGTTGGGAGAATTGAAGGATAATGCCAAGGAAATGTGGGAGGATATGAATAGTTGGAGAGAGGATCAATGCCTTTAAAGGGTCGTACATGGGTAGGCGCCCAAAGGACTTGTGAATATGTGGAGAGATAGAAGAAAATGAAGAACAATAACATACCAGGATGGGTAGCGATTTAGGAACGTAACGCCAAGATTGTAAAACAGATATGAAAGTATTCGATATGTTAAACGAAGAGTAGGCAATCGATTTGAGAAGAAATTTCTGCTAAACGGCGACTTCTAATCTCGATGGGTGGACTGCTGCATTCGATTTCAAGGCTAGCAATGGAAGTAGATAAGATCGTGCCAATAATGGATCGTAGACAGGAAGCTAGGATTGTAGTCTTTTACGGTGATACAAGGAGGCAGAGGAGAAGAGAAAGGAATCATAATCAATCCTTGTTCGAATGATTGAATTGAAAAGTAATAGGAGAGAAGAGAGGTGAGACGATTTTTAGAATTTACTTTTAGATTTTCTAAGTAAGTCGCGATCATATCGCTGCATTCGATTATGTTGATTTACTTAATATTAATTAAATAATTATAAATCATTTTTTTTTATAAAAAGCTTTTTATCATATATTTATTTATTTATTTAATATTAATAAGTATAATAAATTATTATATTTGCTATATTTCTAAATCTCGCATTCTATCATTGAAATCATAAGTTTATGATAACTTAAGTATATTATATATATGCCATTTAGTATATCATATACTAAGTGTATATGTGATAACAGAATTTTTACCCATCGTAATAATTGCATATTGAGAACGCGCTACGAACCAAAACAAATTTGACAGGTACTCGAGGTTATAGACATAAAGATCACATAAGGTTGGTCATAGGCTCGTCGCAATTTCCTGGTATTTCACCATACACCTTATGATGTTTTATTTCCGTTATACTTACTTTTGGCAACCTGTTGATTTATTTCCGTAAGATTTACTTTCGTCACAGAAAACGTAACTCTATTTTTACGGTCACTTCCCACCCCAGCACTGAAAAAATTATATTCCAGCAGAGCGCGGCATAGGTTCTAACATCTTTATTGTTTGTTATTATTTGCAGATAAAAATGATATTTTACATTATTTTCATACCATATGCCTTTGTTAGTGTTCTAGCAGATAATGTTACTTTAGGTAATTATTTTATTTCGACTTACCTACTCAAGGTAAATATTTAAAAAAGAGTTTTTTTACAGACGAATATATGACAGAGCTTCACATTACAAGTCAGTAGCCTTTAAGTTTTAAAATATATTTGGTTTTTTTTATATTTGCTTATAATTAATTGCAGACGAATACATGGCAAAAGCTTATAGCACGTTAAGTAATCATAGAGTTCTGAGTAAGACATACTTTAAATTAAAACACACACACACACATATATATATATAATTGATTAGCAGTTCCTATAATTTACTTAGAGCCACCTTCGCTATAATCAGTTATATTTTAACCTAACAAACTGTGTAGCATTATTTATTAACACTTAAAGCATAGTGTACAATTATTCTGAAAATGTATACTTCTATTATGATTCTGTTTAAAATAGTTTTTATTACTGAAACCATTATTATTTAATTCTAGATGGATTGGCTCATACAATTAAAAAAGTTATTCGTCGAGATGCATATACAACGGGTAGTCATTATTATACAATAAAAAAATTAATCAGTTTAAAGCTTGATTATACAAAAATCCTCTCTCATCTCTCCCCTAGAAGCATTTGTGTATAGAGAGTTTAGTAGGAGTCTTCCACTAATCTTTCAAATGGAACTCTCATTAATAATCCCTTTTCGCGGTTCTACGTGAGTCGAGACTCCAAAGTATTTTATGTTCATTTCGGATTGGTTAAAAGCTCCTAAGTGTACTAAATAATGCATTTAATGTATTGGTAGAACTAACTGATTTGATGTACTGAGTTCTATACTCAATAGGATAATACTTGGTATCAAAAAGAAAAAAACAAATTTGTGGAATCCGAGTTCGGTGGTTCTGTTTGAAAATCGTATGTAGGTATAAAATGAGTAGTTACATAGAGTGTATTGATAAAACTCTCCTGGAGTCCTAATTGGAGACTATCTTGGATCGGAAATTTGGTTTACACGGGTAATCTTCTATGGACTACCGATGCTACTAGATTCCTTAATTTTACCAGAGATCTAAATATTAAATTTTATTGTAACATCTAAATGGATTTTTTCTGACAGATAACACTGCTGGTGGCTTTTTTGATCTCATGAAATCATTATATTTTATTATACTCGCCACATCTTCTTTAATTCTATAATTTTAGGATGATAAATTTTCAACTCTGTATAATAATGTAAATTTAATACCATTTTTACCTAATTAAAAATGCTCCTATGTGTAATTAGGCTTAATTACATTATCTTATAACTTCTAAATAGAATATACAACTGAGTTACAGTTTTAAAATGAATTTATTTTTGTTTAATTTCAGATGAATTAAATTTTATGTTTGCAACACCGGGTAAGAAACGTCTTAACGTTTTATTGTAAAATTTACATATGGTTGTTGGAAGTATTAAATGTTTTCGTTTTGATTTCAGATCAAGCAGACGTTTTTGATCTCTATAGTAATCACTTTTACATTTGATTTTATGTTTATAATCGCTGTCGTATATGTACGTTATTAATATGTATCGAGCATTTAATATCTATAAATTTAGGAAAATCATGTACATGTACTTACTTATCATTTCTACCATAAGAAAATGAGTTCATTAAAATGTTATGTTTTTTGAACTTTAGAACACATAGGATACGAGAGAATATTGCAAAATGAAATTTTCATGGCCTTACGTATGTTTAAATTAATAATTTTTATGCAAATTATTTCAAAAATTGATTATTATATCAAAACGATAAACACTCGAGTCGAGTTTAAAGGCAAAAAACAGTTAATTTAAAAAAAAAAAATATTAAAACTTGAGTGGGTACTTGAGTAGTCTACTGATGTGGGAGTAAACGCAAGTTGTGTAAATAGATGAAGAATGTTTTGCATTAAGTTTTGATGAACGTCAGAAACAATAATCACATAATTAAAATATGCTAGACTACTAAAAGATATTCAAAGTTCAAGCAATATTTTAGATAACTTAATTGTTTTTTTTTTTAGTTGGTGCGTGACTGTTATAAAACTGTTTATAAAACTGTTTTTTTATATTTTTTCGTAGATATTAACAAGCCTCCTGTAAATAGAGGTAAGAACATATTACTGGGTGTCCCATAGAGATTTGACAAATTAAATAAATTTTGTTTTATTGAACATTTTTCAGATTTTATAAATTAATTTGTATTTATTTGTGCTATAACCTCCATGGTTTTTATAGCACTTAACTGTTTTACTTTATTTCATATTTTTTTTCTTTTTTTTTTTTTTTTAATTAAAGAGAGCCATTTTATTATGAACATTTTGCTGAGAATTTCGACTGGTCGATATACAGTTTTAGATAATTAAGTTATTTTAGGTTAAAATATAAGACCGGAAATGGAGTGCGGTAGAGTATGCGCGTAGAGTAAATTTTGTATGCACGCATATAAAATATTCCATCACACTTCACCATCCATTCCACTCTTTAAACTTAAATTAATTTAAAAGTATTTATCCAAAACTAGTAGTCGATCAGTCAACATTTTCAGCAAATTATTGTCAATAAAATGGTTATATTTAATTTAAAAAAGGTAAAAAAAAATAAATAAATAAAAACCTTAAAAATTATAGTTACCAAAAAAATAAGTAATTCAGTTAAAAGTAATACAAATCATGTTGTTTATAGGTCGAAAGAGTGTAAATTTATTTAAAAAAACAAATCTTAAAAATATTTACTAAAACAAAGGTTATTCCATATGTCAAATCTTTGTGGATCTCTGTATGGTTGCAAATTGAGTTAACGTATATTATTTCTCGAATTAAAAAAAAAACAGTTAACCTTATCCCCATGAACACAAATTACTAGTATTTAATTACCTCCATTAGTTTTGAGGAGGTCAAATTTTTTCAGGAATTTTTATTACTGACAAAGATAAAATTATTTTAAAATAATAGCTTCGATACAAATTTGATACAATAAAATAAAATATTAATAAATGCGTCATAAAGATATTTTTTTTTTTTTGGCCTCGTGGGAACTATACCTAAAAAATATGTCACAAAGGTCTGGAAGAAGTCTAGATTATTTTTTAAAAATAAATTATGAGAGATTTAGGATAAAAAATTAATAAAAAAATATATTTTTAGCTTCGCATCGAGGTTAAAGCTTGTAGCAACACGGTTGATTCTTATTTTTTTTCAGTTGTCGATTGGTCAGAACTTGGAGATAAAAGAAGAGAAATGACTAGAAAAGCTATAATACTACTCTTAGACATTGATATTTGTGGTAGGCATTCATTAAGATTTATAATACTTTTGCTTTTTTTTACCATACGATCTATACATACAAAACATAATTCATTTAATTTTTTAACATGTGACCTAATGAGTGATGGTTATAGAGTCAAAGCGAATTAGTAAATTCACATAATATTACCATATGTAGTTGTGGTTGTCTGTACCTTATTTGTATGATCGTACCTATATTGAATGTATTTTATACAATTGCACTGAACAATAGATAAATAATGTTTTTTTATTTATATTATTCACACTTTTATATATATACACATAAAATAACAGAGCCGTATTATACGGACGTGTTATATATTTAACTGAATGTCTTTGTAAACATTTATTAGTGTTGTCTTTTACTATAAAGAAATTAAGTAGCTAGTAAGCTAATTTGGCAAATTTTAATTTTTTTCAAGGTGTACACGGTGACAGTAATTATAGTTTTATGCAGACATGTCGTTTAATTGGGTTGGCATTGAGTACAAAAAATCCATTTAGTTATACAAAAACTGTTGAAACAAATAATGATACTTGTTTCATAATGAATATAAATTGCGTTGTTTCTAGATACAAAGCATTTCGCCATAACGAATTTTATGAAGTATACAGCGAGCCATATGCTAGAAGAGGGCCTAGACTTATTGATCAGTTAAATATAGAATCATTGAGATAAAGAATTTCTTTACATTCCAAGGTTATTTTAAATAATGAACTTATAAATTGCCCAGTATTTCTCAGTGTCAATATCTAAATAATAGTATGCATACCTCTTGTATATCCTTGTTGTCAAATAGTTCAATGTAATTTATAATGAACAGTTCTGTTTACCATTTTGTACACGATTGTTTTAAATGTATTGTCTAATATTGATTTTGTTTTTAATACTTCATTAAAAATAATAAAGAGCACTTTTTATTAGTTAATTGTTTAAAAATAGCAAATAACCGAAAACATACATGTTATTCAAAATATGATGTCAACCAGCTACAACTGTTTGTAATCGTGTTGATAACAATGAACAACGCCTATAATAAATTACACTGCTTGCTTTTCTGCTATTCATTATTGCAACTATATTCGTTTTTCCTAAAATTTCCCTTAGATGTTGGGGTTTCTATATCATGTATACTACAGTTTACTGGTTTCATAAATTTTGTAGCAACATATTGATGACTAGCGGTTCGCTCTGGAGGGTCGTCTGAATTAGTTTAAACTTGAACTTACTTGAGTGAGATTATCTTCTTCTATTACTTGGGTACGTAATTTGCCTGAAAGAGGATACAAAGGTGAGACAGTTCAAAGATTTTTGCAAGATTTTAATATGGCCAAGAGTCTTTTTAAAATTTGCGTGGACAATTCGTGTTACGTTTTCGCGTCCTAAATAGATCAAGATATTTTTTAATTTACTTCTGTAGACCTGTGACCTCCCCATCTTCACTGTGATCCGTCCTCACTATGCCACGACCTTGTGCTGGCTATTTTTATGATTAACTTGTATTGATAAAATAGATGAATAGAAGTGGTGGGTGACAGATTTGATAACAGTGCGCGTGCTGTTTTATCGGCTCTCGGTCACACGTTATGATAATTGTATAAATTAAATACTATTATTATTATTACCAGCGAATGGCACATTTTTACTGTTACTGGCATAGACGGTGATATCTAAACAGATTAGGATTCTTATTCGACAAATATCTAGACACATAATATACTACGTTTGAACAAGTTTTGTTTCATATAAGTACACTATACCACACATTTAGCCGACTTACCTCGCCACATTTCTTTCTGTTTTAAACCATAGCTTAGTAACCTATGGTTAGGCCCGTAAAGTAAGCAGCACTGGACACTTGATTTTAAACCGTCTAAATTTAAGAAATTTCTTTAAATTTAAATTAAAACAAAATTGTACTCTGACCTTTAAGCACGGAGCATTAGACACTCGTTTTTTAGTAAGCCGTTTCTGACTTGACAGATAGCTAGACTTCCACTACAGTTAACCAGTACTTAGCTTGCAAAAGATTTTTCTGAAACTAGGTATGAATTCTAATCACTAGATATGGATACCATAAATTTCAATGACATTACTTTAAGACGCAATGCGGGGACCGGACATCCTAGCCGTGCACCTCCCTCGCAGCTAGTACGTCATAATAGACTCTATTTTTTTTTCATACTCTATTAAATAGAGTATGAAAAAATCTCACTTCAGTAGCGGCATTGGCAGAGACGGCGAAATAGTTCACTTATCAAACCCCTGCTGGCGCTTCTGGAAGTCCTATTTACTACTTATGAGTTTATAAAGTAGGCTATGTCCAGTAAAATAATATTTTTTGTGAACCAAAAATATCTTTCTCAAAAAACTCGGTGGCGATATCTGTACGGAAAGATGATTATTAATATGCCAGCTGTTTTAGCTAAATTAAGCTAAGTATATTTTTTAGTTCAGCGTCGATTGGAATTAAAATTGTGAATATTTGCATAAACCCGTATGGTTGTGATATTTCTGCTGTTGTAGACGTTGTAATGTTGTTATTATTTGTACAAATGCTTCGAGATTATTCACATATTATGTTCGACCGTTCCTTTGTATTGAAATTAGCAAATTAATTTTACGTACCTGCAAAATGTTTTGTCTATAAAAAGGTTAATTAAAAAAAAAAAATATTAAAACAATTTTATATGTAATAGAATTACACTTTACTCAAGTTAGATCTTCTTTTAGACTTATTACCAAAAACTACGGAAAAAAATTATCCACCCCTTTTAGGAAAAAAAGTTAAGGAGGTTTTCTTGGGTACCAAATAAACTCAATCCGATAATTTTTCTTGAAAATTATAGCTAGTAATCGTTGAAAGTTGAAAACCCGCATAGTCTTTTGGTTTTCATAATTTAAAGGATGATAGAGTAATCAACTTTTAATCCCTCAAGGTACCAAATAGACGAATGTTGTGATTTATAAAGTTGCTACTCGATGAAATTGGTTCAATATAAAAAGTAACAGTAGAACAGACTAAAATGCACACACCATTGTAAATCTGATAGCAACTCCGTACCGCATAAAATCTAAAATATAGATTTTGTACCATTAAGTAACAAATAAACTCCTATTTGGAAATTCGCAATTTAGTTATGTATATTTAGGCTATGTTTGTTGTGGTGTTCAATGGATGTTAAGCTTGTGTCACTTACCGCTTAACAGTTTTAATAGGTTTTATTGATATCGCCAAATGTGCAAAAGTGTATATACAATTATATGATTAGGATTTAATGCATAAGACCCTAGTACTTTTTTTGAATAACATTCTAGCGTGATGTGTTTGAACAAGTTTGGCTTTTATATATAGTATTGTTCTAAACACATTTAGATTTAAATAGGTGTTCTGACGGTATGCGTTTCATATAATATTCATCTACTACAGCTGCTGAGTAATGCGTTACAAACTTTACATAGGACTCTGGTACTTTGAAAGTGGGACAGTGGCAGCGGAGCAGGTTTTTAATAATGGCTCAACAAATTTAAACAAATTTAATTAGTAACATTTATTACTGTTAGGTAATTTTGATTTAGGTCCCTAATACTTTTTTCTAATAAATTGAAATTTTAGTACGATGTGTCTGGCCAAGTTTAGCTTTGTTATATTAAATTATTCTACACATTTTTAATGTAATAAGTCGAAATCCAATTTTGAAAAAGTTACAGGTTATACGTGCTTCATAGAGTTATCGGCAAAATTATGGTTATTTTTCAGAAATTGTGATACTCATATTGGACAATTTCGGATTTTTCTATGGAGGTACAGATGTGCCTAATGTAAATGTTTATTGCACATAATTGTAATTAGTTTTCACTGTGATTGCATAGGGAGAAAAATTGTAGTGTACAATGTGAGTAGACAAGGATTGTGGAACCTGTATGTGCAGTGTTGTAGGGATGATACAATTAACATTGATCTGGTGGTTAGGTAGGATTCAGATATAAGAACTATATCGACTCTTTTTTTTTTTGTCTAGTACTGGAGTCAATTTATTCATGTGATTCAGGATTCCAAAAAAGGATTACAATGTCGTTTGTAAGACTACTATATGGCGTTATTGTTTTCAATAAGGTACGAGAAGACTGTCACAAGGGCTGTTAAAAATGCATTTATTATTGATTTGAAGGCAGATTTAAAGTTGTTCAATATTAAGGAGATTGTTTCTCAGTGATAGGTGGAGAGTTTAGATTTGTGCCGGAAGTGACCTGAAATTACGAGTATTTGAGCTGGTTATTTCAAAATTGTCTCATTTGAGTTGTCATTGGTGGATTAGCTTGATATTTAGATAGTTTTGTAAGTACAGGGTTGTGTTTTTAAGATAATTGACGGTTTCGTTGTAGTTAGTTATAAATTAGATTTGGTTTTTTGGGTAGGACAACAGCTTTACATACGATTCCATAATCTACCTCAAAACGTCCTGAGTAGTATATTTTAGATTAATACTCATAAAAGATAAAATAGTTGAGATATTTTTTTTGATATTATGACATACACAATTAAATATGGTTAAAGACTCTAATGTAAATACTAGTTTACGAGTGATTTATAAAGAAATAACTGTTAAGAAAGTAGACTAAATATAATGGACTAAAGCAGAATAATATAAATAAGAAATCATATAAAAATAAGTAAACCACCTATGTAAATAAATTAACGTAGGCACTTATTGGCTAGTCGCAAGAAAGCCACTTTAACACAATTAATATACAGTTAAAATCGATTTGATTTCTGTCTTATAAGTTCGCCAATTTTAATCATATTGATTGACACTCACAAACTTTAAAGACTGTAAGTCCAAAATTTTTTTTTTTATTAAGTTTTTCTAAGTTTATATTTTGTATATGTGTATCTAGCCTTTGAAAAGTTTAACCAATCTGTCCATTTCATTAAATAGCCAAGCTTTTTATAGCCTTATGTTGATGTAAAAATCTGAAAAAAAAAATTTTTATTTCAAACACCATAATTTGTATACAATTTATTATTAAATTGTTGTTAATAACATTAATTTTATTTTTGTTATTTGATATTGTTCATGCACATAGGGTAATTATTAAATTTATATGATACATTTTTCATAAATAACAGTATTTTTCTAGTTTATCTTCTTCCTAATTATTTTCATTCGTTTTTTTTTTTGTTATTACAAATTTTCGATGTCCAGTCAAAATGTTCATTAAATTATTATCTATTAAGCAACAGTAGTAAAATAGATAGGTTATAATATTTAGTAAATAACTTTTATCTCGCTGTTCCAGAATGTTCTGTAACCATTAATTGCCGTCACCACTAAGTTAGTTCTTTTTTGTTTTATTTCATTAAAAAATAAAACCGTTCGACTACACCAAAAATAGCGCAATAAACAAAATATTTTAATAAAGAAAAGGTGGGGTTTAATTTTCAATATATATGAACGGTATTACTACGTTTAAAAAACACCTCAATGTAGGAGTAATTCGATTATTTTTTTAAATATTTTTAGTAATTTGTGCGTATCGTAATTTTAAGTTGAAAAATATCTATAATATGTTAATAATAATATAATAATATATCTATAATGTGTTTTTCTTGATTTCACATTGAGTTGGTCCTATAAGCTAACATTTGGATAATATTTCTGGTTTATAGAAATATAATTTTAGAAGATAACGTGGGTCCATAGTCCACACAAAAACAAAAATTAAAAATAAAATTTTCACAAGCAGAAAATATTTAATAGGCATCTGTGTTTTTATTAAAAGAAGCATCATTGTTTGTAATTTTTTGCAGATAAAAATGATATGTAATATTGTTTTAATATTATATGCCTTTGTTAATGTTTTGGCAGATACTATTGATATGAGTAATTATTTCATTTAAACGCACCTAATCAAGGTAGTTAAAAATCTAAAAAAACCAAATTGTAATTTTTCACAGGTGAATATATTACAGAGCTTCAAATCACAAGTTAGTAACCTTTACATTTTTTAATATATATATTTTTTTTAAATATTTGTTTATAACTTATTGCAGACGAATACATGGAAAAAGCTTATAACACGATTGGTTATCATGGAAATCTGAGTAAGACATACTTAAAATTAAAACACATATATTTATAATTGATTTAATATGTTTTCCTGATCATCAAATTATTTATAAATTGAAAATAATAGTTTCTATGATCTTTGGAGACTATAAGTGCACAATACGTATATTAATATTGTTTCGAATGCTGTCTATTTACTTAATTGATGAAAATAAAATATTATATACATAACTGATATTCTTAAAATACCAGTTTCTATAATTTAATTAGAGCCACCTTGGCTATAAACAGCTATATTTTAACCTAACAAACTGAGTAGCATTATGTATAGTCACCACTTTAAAGCATAGTGTACAATTATTCTGAAAATATATACCTACTTCTATTATGATTCTGTTTGAAATATTTATTATTGCTTAAACCATTTTTATTTAATTCTAGATGGATTGGCGTATACAATTAAAAAAGCTATTCGTCGAGATGTATATACCATGGGTAGTTATTATTATATATTAAAAAAATTAATCAGTTTAAAGCTTGATTATACACAAATCCTCAATCTCATCTCTCTTCTAGAAGCATTTGTGTACAGATAGTTCAGTAGGAGTCTTCCACTAATCTTTTTAATGGAACTCTCATTAATAATCCATTTCGCCGTTCTACGTGAGTCCTTAGACAGTATTGAAATATATTATTTTTAGGATCGTTCCAGAAACCCAATCGAGACTCCTAAGTATATGGTCATTTTAATTTCGTAGGAGTTTCCAAAGTGTTGCGATACTAAAGTAGCGTGCCTATTTTAAATGTAAAAAATATATAAGATGCAATCAAAATAATAACGAGTCATAGTCGTCATGCAAACGTTTGGCCAAAACATATAATTAAGACTGTAGAATCATCATAAATCACAAGGAGGTTATAGATCAGAAATAATCACTATTCAGGAACTAGCAGAATAAACTATGTTCCACGTTTTATAATTATAGCCATCGAGCTTTAAGTAGACTGTAACTTTTTATAGTTATTTTTATCAGAGATCAAAATATTAAATTTTAATGTAAAATCAATACGGAATATTTCTGACAGTCAGCACTGACGATATTTTTTTTTATGCTCACCAATTCATTTTTTCTATTTTACTCATCATGTCTACTTTAGTTCAGTAATTTTATTATGATGAAGTGTTCGCCATATATAGTATTGTAGAACCAACACCAATTTTAATGAGCTCGAAATGCACATATGTGCTGTTTACCTGAATTACCACGTCTCCTAATTTAAAATGAAATGGAAAATTACAATAAATTTAATAACTAATTTAGTAATTTTAATTTCAGAGGAATTAAATTGTATGTTTGCAATACCGGGTAATAAACATGTTAACATTTTAAGGTCAAATTTCACCATAGTTGTTTAAAGTATTAAATGATTTCGTTTTAATTTCAGATCAAGCAGACATTTTTGAACTCAATAGTAATTATCTTTAAATATTATGATTTCATATATATTTTATAATAATCAGTAATGCGCAGTCTTATCTGTACATTATTAATATGCATTGAGCATAATAATATGGATATATCAAGAAAGTTATCATATATATGTACTTGTCTATTTATTTTAATCATAAAAAAAAAAATTAGTACATTAAAATTCAATTTATTTTAAATTTTAGAATACATAGGATACGAGAGAATATTGCAAAATGACATTTTCATGGCCTTACGTATGTTTAAATTAAATATTTTCATGCGAATAATTTCCAAAATGGATTTTTATATAAAAACGATTAACACTCGATTCGAGTTCAAAGTCAAAGAATAGTATTTTGTTTTAAGTTTTGATGAAATTATGAAACAATAATCATCGGGATTAAAAGTTATTTAAAGTGAAAGCAATATTTTAGATTGGCTACTTGTTTTTTTATTTTTTTGTGTGACTGTTATAAATAAAATATAAAATTAGTTTTTCCACTGTTATTATATTTTGATATTTTATTGCAGATATTAGTAGGCCTTTGGTAAACCGAGGTAAGCACGCATTATAGTTGTAAATTTAGTTAATCAAAATTATTTCTAATAATTTCTCGAATAAAAAAAATTCCTTATCCCCATGAACACATACTATTAATTATTAAAAAAAATCATTAGTTTTGAGAAAGTTGACTATGATGGTATTAACTTGTTTAGTGTTTTTAAGGACATGCATATTTAAATAAAGAAAGTAGATTAATGTATATGTGTAAAGTTTACAATTCACAATCTAAATATTTGCTAATGTATTTCCATTATGATTTGTAATACAAATAATGTCTAAATACTAATGTTGTTTTAAGAATTTTAACCTTCTACACATACAGCTAAACGCCTATTTAATTCAAATACAACCGTTCTTTGACTATTACTAAAAAATTAAGTAATTTTATCTATTTCGCGTATTTAAGTATGCCATCTGACCACCAGCATTTTTAGTTTAGAATACCGGTCAAATCCGTACACAAGACTTAAAAAATTAAATCACATTATTATAAAAAAATATATTTCATCTTCGCACCTAGGTTAAAGCTTGTATTTGTTACTTGTAGCAACACGGTTGTTTATTTTGTGTTTTCAGTTGTTGATTGGACAGATCTTGGTCATAAAAGAAGAACATTAACTAGAAAGGCTATAGTGCAACTGTTGTCCTTTGATATTAGTGGTCAGCATTCATTTATGTTATAATAATTATAATTTTCAGTCATAAGATCATACTAACCGAATTACTTAATTCATAAAAAAACATCCCTATTCAATAACATCTCATTTACAGATATATAATATATTTATATCATCGGTTAATTCCTACCACGGTAACACCCGATAGTTTTGTTTATAATAATATAAGTATTATACGCATACAGCACTTAGGTAATTGACTCTTTTCTTAACATACAAGTATGTTAAGAAACTGTTCATTATACTATGATTAGACTCTATGTAATCTATAAAGTTTTTGTTTATTAAATACCGAAGGAATCTTTTATCTATCGCTTATGGAAAACGTTTTAACGCTAATCCTCTTACATGATATTAAATAGTTAATAATTTAGAAAAATATAACAAGAATTTAATTTGTTTACGTGTGACCTACTAATTTATGATTATAGATTCAAATTGAAACGATAAATTTATATAAGTTTATAAAACATTATCACATGTATTGTATTTGCCAGTATCTACACATTTCGATAGGACATTTTATATTTATATTATACCTAGATTCCACTTACATAACATTTTTTTTTAAATACAAAATCTACTAGAGAGCTATATTGAACAAGTCATAATTTCACTGAAAAATAAGCAAGATAAATAATATATTCTTTATATATATTATAATATTATATATATATATACACACACACACACATATTATATATATATATATCTAGTGTCTAGCCGTGTTCCCCACAAGTAAAAATATTATTGTTTGAAAATAATGTAATCTTATTACATGAACATACTGTATATTTATCTGTATTTCTTTATACACATTTATTGGTATTGTCTTTAACTATAAAGAAATTTAGTAACTATTAAGCTAATTTGTCAAATGTTTATTTTTTTTAGGTACATACAGTGACTACTATAGTCTTATACAAAAATGTCGTTTAATTGGATTGGCTTTAAGTACAAAAGACCCATTACGTTACACAAAAACTGTTGAAATAAACAATTATGATACTTGTTTCATAATTAATGCAAGTGGCATTATTACTAGATACAAAGCTTTTCGGAGCAACGAATTTCATGAAGTACACCTCGAGCCATATGCTACAAGAGGTCCTAGACTAATTGATCAGTTAAATATAGAATCATCGGTATAAAGAATTTCTTTACTTACAAGTTTGTTGTAAATAACAGCTAACTTATAAATTGTATTTTAATTATTATATTTAAATTATTTTATGGATGTCTCTTGTATATCCTTGTCAAATAGTTGAATGTAATTTATAATAAACAGCTCTGCTTATCATTTTGAACATGATTGTTGTTTTCTATTATTGTTCCTATATCTACGATTTCTCCTTAGTCGTTGAACAAATTGTATTATATAGTAAGTAATACGTCAGAAATCTATGACTGCCACTACTACTACTACTGTTAACTTTACTAAACATTAGCAAACTTAAGTTAATAACAATACTATTGCATAGACATTTTTTACAACTATTACCACACTTGATCTTACATTATAAAAAATGTCTTGTTGTTATTTCCATTAATCATTATCCCATTTATATATGGGGACGGTAACCTAAATTCACTCTTTCCACACATTTTTATCAAAAGTAATTTATTTATCACACCCCCCCCCTTCTTCTTAGGTTTACTTCTAATTCTATTTAATTACGGAATATCAACTTTTTGAGAAAAAAACCCTAGTTATTTTCTACGCTCACGGGAATACATTGAATTATGGGTATGTTTTAGCATTATGGTTTCACCATGGATATGTTTTTGGGCTGGGGGTCATTCTGAAATTCGTGTTACGATTTCGTGTAATGTACATAAAGATGTAATAGTAAATAGACATTAAGACCGTCATAGACAAGATCAAGACTATTTATTAAAAAATAAATATTTCCAAAATATGGACTGAAATGTTAGATTGATTGATGATGACACTGTCATATAACAGACTATTTTCATAAAGTTGTGTTCATACATTGGATAAATCATAGAAAAACCATTAAATATCATGGACAAAACAATAACTGTACACAAAATGGCATGTTTTTACCAAGGAAAATGTTTATTTAGATTTAATTAGACATTTTATTTATTCCCCCTCCCTCCCCAGATAGTCGCGATATCAAGAAAGTAAGTGTATTATAATAAATTGGTACATCTAAAATGTTTTGGTGGTAAAACAAGTTGAGCTCAACTATTATCATTATCATCGCAGCTGTGTGTGAAATATTATTAACGAAAAAAAAACAAGGTTTTGTACTTTATTAGTTAGAAATTAAACGTCCTATTCTATGTGAGTAAGCAAAACATAAAACAGCAAAACGTTTTTGTCTGACTTACAGTATACATTTACAACCGATCGCTGCGTCGATCATGATATTTTAACCTTCTAGTACGACGTCGGCTAAATAATATTCCGAAAGCTTACATAAATGGATATAAAGCTACTATACAAGATGGTAAACAAGAAATATTAAGGCACCCCTAATACTCTCCCTAAGACTTAATGATCCCTATTTTCAATATTTTATACAAAGAAATTTAGTGAAGGAGTTACCTGGTACATGGTTTGTAAAAAAAAATAGTTTATTCAGCCATTAAACCAACTCCTAAACATTGATAATTAATATTTTTAGGAACTATTTCACGGCTCAAGCAGAAAGCATAATAAAAATTATAAAATACGTTTGTACACAAAAAATAAGACAGAGTTGGAACAAAAAATTGTTATTTCAAAATTAAAATTTAATTTCGGTCTTAAGAATATGAAATGTTAAAAATATCATTTTGTAAGTTTAAATTGTGAAGCTGATGTCGTTAATCATACCCGAGAAAAAAAATTAAACTCCTTAGATTGTCCACTTATACAAATGCTTTATAAAGAATATTAAACAATTTAAAAACAGTAGTTTTCTTTTTATATTATGAAGAAAAATATTTTTTTTTCTCGTGTCAGACATCATACTGGTAACTATAAGTTAGTAAACTAGACTAGTTTATATAAGTAGTTTACGATTAAAAATATGCATAGATAGATAAAATACAATAAAATATGGTAAGGTAAATGTTTTGACTAGATGTTTCCATTTGCCCAGTACTGGGCCACGTCCTTGGCTTTCTGGTTGACAATAGTTAAGTCTTCTAGCGTGCAAGGTCCTGGTGCCAACGGGCATACCAGAAGAGGCATCCTGATCATTAATATATCCCCATTCCAGCATGTTAACCTTAGATTTTCCAACTCCCATGCATTTATTCTACTCTGAGAGGGGTCATTTTCTAAGGCACTAGAGGCTCTAAGAAAACTTTTTCTCGATTTTAGTCGAGAATCAGCTTTAAAAGCAATTTAAAAATCAATAGCTGAAAAGAAATAGTCTAAAATTTCGGTCACAACAATGTGAATTTGAAAATGTACTAAAAAAGTAAACCATCTGTGCTAATAACATTGCCACACTGCAAAGTGCAAAATATATTATGAATTTACTGTTTCGATCGACATTTAGTTCACCAACACGTCGCAAGAAAACCACTTTAGAATATTTTACCAAGCTTTCCGAATATTACAAAAAAATTGATAATTTCATTAATAATATAAGTAAGTCTCTTAACCTTCAAAGTTTGTAAGTACGCTTTTTATTGTTCTTTAATAAGCTTATAAAATGTTATATTTTTTTGTGTTTAAAGAATACTTTAATAGATATTTAATTTATTCATTAGTTATCTTAACGTGTACTGCCGGATAAGATTTTATTTTTATACTTTCTATAACCCTAATAATATAAGGGTTATAACTTAAATTCCAAGTATTTTAATTTAAAAACAGATTAGACAATCTCTTTAAAATAATATCGTCACTCCATTGTATCATGAATATTTTAGCTGTAAGTACATCATGGTTCAAGTATTAAGCATTATGCGAACTCAAGTTTGGTTGCTTGAAATTTAGTGTGTAATGTCTTCTTAAGAGCTTATTCTAATAAAATTGTTTTATACAGTGTGATTATTTTATCATGAACCAGTCAATATTGCACTGGGTTTATTTAATAGTTAATTTTTTTTTCATATTGTTTTTATATAATGTGATCTCAATTTTTAAAAGTTGTTTTTTGTTTTTACCCCCTTCCAACTTAGATTTTTTGATAGTAACTTTTGAAACTTAAATGGTAACGTATATATTTTATTACCTTTTTAAATAGAAAATGTTGTACTACAAATTTTGCTTGTCGATAAACCAGTTTCGGATAACTATTTTTAAAGCTATAAGAGTTTAAAAGTTAGGAGGGGGGAAGTGGAGTGTAGTATTATTTTTATGAGCGCGCATTTCCAAACCGCACAATAATTTTTGGAAAATTGAGATCACGTTTTATGAAAACATTATAAAAAATAATAAATTCAATTATTAATTAAACCCAGTGAAATATTGACTGATTCATGATAAAACAATCACTCTGTTTAACGTTAAATATTCAGTTAAATACCTTTTTATACTTTGTATTTTAAATGCAATAGCTTAACCTAAATATTTTACACAATGCACATTAAATATTTTACAGAGACCTTATTTTAATTTTTTTTGTATTTTCCCAAGGTCACCTAACTAATTTTGACCCAACAAAGTACCTTCCAAGTTCGATTTCTACCTTGCTCTATAAAAAATAAATTTAGTGGCTTAGTAAAATATTGTGGGTCTAGTAGAATAAGCCAAATAGCTTCATAATACAAAACCTTTCTTATCTCTGGTGGTGACTATGGCTAGTATAAATGTATTTTATGTTTATTATTACTTTACAGATAAAAATGAAACTTTTTTGTTTGTTATTATCATTTATCATTGTAAACGTTTCGTCAGATAAAACAAGTAATTATTTTGTTTTAACAATAATATACATAAAAAAGTTTTAATCAAATTTAATATTTTTTTACAGCGGAGTATTTTAAGAGGGAGGTTGCCATAACAAGTTAGTAACATTTTTGTTTAAAAAAAAAATTTTAATTTTTAAATTTTACTGTTCTTACATATATTTTTTAATTATATATTACAGACGCACTCGTCGAGTATGCTTATAATATGAAAAATTCTATTGTAGGAGATAAACGTATAGAAAGTAAGATTTGTTTTAAATTATTTTCTTTTTTATTTATTTATTTATGCATATGACAATTCAGCTTATTTAGAAGATAACATAAGTCAAAGTATTTAAATAATTATAATAGTAAACAAAATTGATAAATATATATAAAAGTGACACACGCAGTTTAAGCTGAAATTTTTGTTTGTTTATTTTAGATGGATTAGTGCATGTAATTAAAACAATTGTTTTAAATGGCAATTATACCACAGGTATTAATAAAAAAAAAATTCACATAATGTTTTCTAGAAGAAGAATATATTTGAAAATATTATAAAATTAAAATAACACATAATGAATCTCAACGCAAAATTTATCAGTGATATAAATCATACGTTTTTCAAAAATTTAAATTGACTTTTAATGAAAAAAAAAATTAAGATAATAATGCCTACTTTTGTTAGTAATTAAATGTTATTCTTATTATTACATTTGTTTTAATTCAGTCATAAAATTAAGTTTCCATCTGTTTTAAATAATCGTCGAAATTCTATTATTACCGAGTTACTAGTTCATATGTTTATTTCTATTTCGAATTCTGTTTTCCTGTTTAAAATAGAATAGAAAAACTTAAACCCAATTCCATTAATTTGTATAATGTTAATTTTAGAAATTATGAATCATATGTTCTCAATTGCGGGTAATAACAATTTGTATTACATATTACGGAAATTTTTCCTCACAGTTCTTTAATATTCTTACAATATACAATTTATTTGTTTTAATTTTAGAAAACTTGTACCTTAAAGACATAGACGGTAACCATACATTTATATTTTACGTTTTAAATACTTAACATACAGTCATTGCTTATAAATATGTTGGGACTAATGTTATGTACAATAAATATTAGTTTCAGTCGTAAAACTATGTATGTTAAAATGTATTTTGTTTTTACTTTTAGAAACTGTAAACATCCTACACAAGTTTAATGGAGAAATAATAAGTGAACTACGTAAATATAACATTTTTTTTAGGGAACAATTTTCAAAATTGTTGATTACTTAGCTCTAATCTATATTATTTTATAGAAATTGCTGATCCTGATGCACTACGCCCAAGTAATTACACATTTTTCGAAAGTCATTATTAGCTTTAAGTCTTATATTAGAGATTAAATTTGCTTCATTACTGTAAGTTATTTCATTTCAAATAATAATTTCAACAAAATACGTTTTTGTGCGATAGTGAGAGTGTTTTTCGTAGTTAAAGAGAAATTTTTGACCACTTTGAATAATATAAACAATAAATTTGTTTTTTCTTTCGTAATAATATTATTTGCAATATTGAAATTGCACAGTTTAAAGTCGTGCTGTACATTTATCTTAATGAAAACACTTAGTGTGGTTAATGGCATAGTAGGACTGAATCTATAGGGGCACCATCACTTCCGAATAAACGTTTCACTAATCTGTTCATAGAATATTAAGTTTTTCAATATCGATTAAAGAATTTTAAATGCAATTAATCGGTTTTGACACAAAAGTAAATGTTCTTCAACTATCTATTACTATCGATTCATTCACAACCTGGCATTTTTAGTACCTAAGCGGAGAGTGTAGATTTTTCTGTTTTTTTTTAAACCATGAATCTTTTTGCTCTCTACTTAAAATTGCCTACAATGTTAATTTGTAATTAGTACTTTGAGTTTCAAAACTAATTTCTAGTTTTTACAAAAATATATTTTTATTACAGTTCTTTGAAATATAATGTAACAATTGTGTATCAACTAGTTTATTTTTTATATCTATTTTTGTAACATCATAATCATTTAATAATTTTAGCAGATTTGACCAATTTAGTTTTGAAAGAGCTTGCAGATAATAGAAGACGTTGTACTGGAGAAGCTTTGCGCTATATACTCAGACTGGCAACAAACGGTATCAATAATATATTATTTAAATAGAAAACTTCACCATTTTAATTTAAAACGGTGTGAGCTAACTTTTCAAAAAAGTCCAAATTAGAGACACCCTAATAATATATTAAATAAACATTATTTATCTTATGAAGTTCAGTTTTAAATTGATTTTTAGTTAATGAACAGTGTTCATTAACTAAAAATAATTTTAAAATTTTACCTCAAACACTACCTTGTAAATATTATGAGGAACTCAAGAAGAAAAGTATTTTTGCAACGTATTGTTCGAAATACAGATAACTCGCAGTGTAGATTATTTTTTGTTTGATATCATATTAGAGAAAATCATTGCATTAATTGAACGTTGCACCTAACGCTTTTGTTGTAGTGTTGCGTTGTTGTGTAATTCGAATAAAGTAAGAATACTTTCTTCGAGCTTTAACACTAGTAATAGGTTTAAAAAAAAAAATTATTTTCACAGCTTTTTGAAATGAAATGCAATTAAGTACTATGAGCAACTATTTCATTTTCTACTTTATTATTTGTTATCAACATGTTTATTTTGCAGATTTTGCAGATTTTGTAGACAATGTGACCAATCTTGTAGAAAAGAGAAGAATTGATCCTCCAGAATGTTCAAATAGTACAATCCTGCGTGCAAGTAAGTCTTGATATAGAGTTGTCGTAGTTTTTAACTATTATATTATATTATGTATACAGGGTGATTCTTCTATCGTCAACCAGTCAATATCTCACTGGGTTTAATTAATAATTGAATTTTTTTTTGTTTTTACCAATTTTGACTGGTCGATAACCAGTTTCGGATAACTATTTTTGAAGTTATAAGAGTTTAAAAGTTAGGAAGGGAGGCAAGTGGAGTGTAGTATTATTTTTATCTGCGCGCATTTCCAAACTGCACTTCCCCTCCCATCCTAACTAAAAAACTCTTATAACATCAAAAATAGTTATCCGAAACTGGTTATCGGCCAATCAAAATTTGTAATACAGTATTCTCTATTTAAAAAGGTAATAAAATATATACGTTACTATTTAAGTTTCAAAAGTTGCTATCAAAAAACCTAAGTTGGGAGAGGGTAAAAACAAAAAAAATTGTGAAAAGTTGGAATCACATTGTATAGAAACAATATGTAAAAAAAATTCTACTATTAATTAAACCCAGTGAGATATTGACTGGTTCATGATAAAAGAATCACCCTGTATAAACTGGATATAAGATTGGACCGAAAAATGTGTTCTGTTCTTCTCGTGCATTATGTTTCTTAAGGAACGAAAATTTATTCTTTTTTTTTTTAAACGATTTTAAGAAGAATCTGTTTTCCGAATTATGTTTGTTTCCCTAGATGTTAATTTTCTTAAGATATAAATATTAATTGGGTAAACTTATCTCTAATATTATTCTATTTTTTTTTTTTTTAGAGTTAAAAATAAATAGTAAGTAGTTAATAGTAAACTAAATTTGGAAAGTTAGAAAAAACATATTTTTTAATATTTTTAGAAACACCTACAGTTAGAAAGGCACTTGATGTCCCATTGTATGAGATGTGTCAATTTTTAGTATTGTACATGAATACAAAAAATCCAAGTCCACAAATTGCAGCTGAGCTGGTTTACGATGGTAATGAAACTTGTACCGCAACAAAAATTTATAAATCATCAGACCCCGATGTATTCGTGATAAAAAAAATGAAGCTCATATGGTGGCAAGTTGACAAGTATCACAAACAAGTAATGCCACTTAAAGACTTATTACGAACATTTTGACCAGGAATCAATAATTGAACTCTTCTAAAATTACATTATAGTTTTGTAATTATACCGTATTTAAATAATATTTGTTTATTAAATAATAAAGTTTCGCTTATTCTCTTCATCAACCTGTCTGTAGACGTTATTTATTTCTATTAAGTTCTATGTAGTTCAGCACTCCATCTATTTATCTCTGTTTGGGATGTCAAGGTGGTCTGTAGCTCTTTTAGTCACTTTTACCATATTTGACATATTCACTTATTAGCTCTGGCACATAACCGAAATACTTGTCGTGAAAAACTTGTGACGAAATACTTGTCACGCTGTTATCTGATAAGCGATTAGAGATAGGGTGTAGGACATGGGAGATAGGGGTAGGGGATAGGGTTATAGGAATGAGAATGGTGTTAAGGATGGGAATCAGCACTACCACATAATCGAAAAAAAGTGTTACATAAAACGCGTTACGCTGTTATCTGATAAAAGATTAGAGATAAGAGATATGTTGTATTCACAACGATCAAATTTTAACTGGAAAATAAATTCAATGTTATTTAACAGGTCATATTTCCAATGAATTGCTTAAGGCCAGATATTATGAAAACACTAAAATATAAGCCAGAAACTTGATATGTTTACTAGCCACCTTAGATACTAGCTTGTTAATATACTATTTCATTATCTATAATTCCACCACTACTCTAAATTTATTTGATAATGTTAAACAAATCAAAATCATTATTTTTAAATATTTCGATCTCGTAAAAAATATTATAAATAGTCTTGAAAAAATCTTTTAATTGATATAGTTGGTATTAAAAACCAATTCACAAAAATATGGGTTATCAAATATCTTTTAACAAATGCCGGTTCATTTACATAATTGTTTGAGTGTAAATGGGGAAGAGGGGAAACATTAAAATTGAGGAGGCCCTTGCCTATAGCTAAGTATCACAACTCTTAATTCAGTATTTGTTCTTGGACCAAAAGTTGTATCGTTTCGATTTTAGGTTAAATTAATTGTAAAACAAGTTACGAACAATTCATTTTTTGTTATTATTTAAATCCTTTATTTATGTTTGAGTGCCTCTTACACCTTATACTAAATCTTATGCTCAGAATTAAGGTCTGATTACTATAAAAAGTTTTAATAAAAAATTTCAAAGTACATCAATACATAAATAACAAATTTGCTTATGATCTTGAGCAAAACTCAAATTATATTATTAAATACATTTAACTAGTTACAATTTTTGGATATAAATGCGGTACATAAATACTATTTAAATAACACTACACGTACTGTGTAAAGACAAGTTTGTAAATCTATAGCTTTGATTGCTGGTCTACCATTTTGTCCATTCGGTCACTTGATGACGAAGTGTCTGTGTTACCTGACTGGATGTATCGATTTGGAACTCCAAAATTTCGTTGTTAACACATGTGTATTGGCTAACTTTTTTGTCTAAATCTGTTATGTTACAATTACCATAAATGTCAACATCAGCAGCTATTATAATTGTATCATTGAATACTATATTTCTAAATAGACCTATTAAACGACACATCATCGCAAAATTTTTGAAAACTGGTTCGTCTCCATCTTGAAAAATAAAAAAAAACAGCTTTTAAAAAAATTGGCTAAATTTAGCCCACTAATAATTTACCGCTATTCTTTATTGTGCAAGACACAATAGCTAATACATGTATTTTAAATAATTGTAGAAATGTAGTTCCAATATACAGGGTATACATAGTGTACAGCCATGTTACTCCTGGTGGATCTTTTCAATGGAGGGCCGCAAGGTCAAACACCAGTATTTCAAAGCTTATTATTAATTTAAATTTAATAAAGTACATTTAAAACAAGACAAACCGTTGTTTACTTCCTATATTGTTGTGAATAAATATCACGTAAATATCTTGTGATATATGTCTATATAAATATTATTTATGAACTGTAATTGAATACTATTGTTATTTATGGCTATTATTAATCAAATATTATTGAAAAAGAAATATTTATTTAAAAATTAAAAACGGCAGAATCATAATTAAAATCAAAAACAGTACAAATCTATAAAACAATTTACTTATTGCTTGTTGGATTAAGACTTTTATAACGTCTCTCGTTACATATCTTCTGCTAACTCCAAGATTTAACAATTTATAATCGTCAAAATCTGCAAAAAATATTGAACTTCAATGTCGACAACATCAAATAATAAAAAAAAAGACAGCACAGTAAGTTTGCAGCATTCGAATATTTTTATTGTAGAAATTAACTGATATGTTATCAATTAAATTACATGGTTTCAATCAAAATTCTAAGCCTTAAGCGCTATTTACGAATATAAAATAAATGCGTTATTACTTTGGTTGTCATTTACAAGTGGTAGAGGATAAACTGTAACAAAAATATAAAAAATTAAGTACTCATATAGTAATTAAAAATTAGTAAAAACTAAAATTACTTATTGTTAGACCCATTTTTTAAACTAAAACATTGTACGACTACTTGAATTATGTTTCAAACTATCATTAAGACTTATCCAAAAAAAAAAAAACATATAGCTTTATGAAGATAAATTCTAACTGAATTTCAATCGTTATAACTGGGTAATTATTTGGAAAATTGTTCGCTTAAAAATGTTAAATTTTAAAATTACATGTAATATTGAGTATAAGTGTTCGCAAAATTTCCTCATAAATTAGGCAATCTAAAATAAAAAATATATATATTAATTATAATGCAAATATTTTGTTTTGGTAGGTTAATATTGATACATATAATGAAAATGTGTAAACGAATGTTTAAACCGTTAAAAAATATGTAGTATATAAAAAGGATTACCCTGTAAATTGTGCAAAACGTTTGCTAATTCTGAAATTAAAACAAAATTATTATATTCTTAATGTTTATAAAAATAACCATGTAGAACTGCGTCCACATGACTCAAAGAAAATCATTACCCGGTACAGCCAACATCAAAGCAATTTCATCTGAAATTATTAATTTATGAAAATCACATTATATATTTGTTTTTTAATAGCATTATTTATTAATTTTTTTTAGTATTTCACTGTGACTACCCATCGTTGTATGTCCGGTAATAATTTCTCTTACAACAGGCAGCAATCCAATATCTAGAAGAAACAAATTATTTAAGTTGTAAGTTTAATGTTAAATAAAATTATTATTCCCGGAGATATAAAAATCTTTAGAATAAGAGTGCATCATGATTTAAATGGATACCATGCTATTCATTCAGCCTTTTAGGTTAAATAGTCACTTTCATTCAAATTATATAAACTGCTCTTTCGAGTATAAATATAAACTAGTTGATGTTTACAAATTAAGTATTTACATAGTATTTGGAACACTGGTATGATATACCTCATGCACTCTTAATCTGCACTAAATTTTACAAACTAAAACCTTTAAATTATACATTTTCTGAAAAACAGATAAACATAATGAACCAATTATGTATTAGTAAATTCATATTAAATATACTGTATTACCTGTAGTAGACGCCCGCTCAATGTGTGTGTCTGTAAATAAAGGTTTAAAGGATATGTACAAAAATTGCAAAAATTAAAGACATCAAAAGCTATTAATTTATGAAAAGAAAACTACTGACTTGTAAAGGAAATCGACTTTTTGTAATCCGCTGTCAGCAAAAATTAATTATTAGTTTTTTTTTTTTTCAAATGAACTGCCTAATATTGGTGTAAAAAAAATAATTACCCATAGTTACTGCCAAGACTTTTACAATGGTAAACAATATTAAAACGCAGCAAAGTTTCATTTTAACTACAAAAAATAACACACTTCAACGCTTCTTATATTAGACACAGTCTTCAGTTATTAGCGCCAATGAAAAGCTGAATATTGTTATATAACGTGTATTATAATAACAAAAATGATATAGCTTCTAAGCTTTTAAGACAAAAATGAATACTCTCAACTTGTACCAGCTATAATTAAAGTAATTTGTTTGCGACTTATACGCTTATATGTCGACCGAAACCGTATAAAATCTAAAAATACTTTACATTGTGCAAATATATTGTATTGTATTTACATATTTACATTATTTTAAAGCGGAGTTTCAACATTTTTTTTTGGTTATTGATTTTACAACCACATGTAAACTTATGTTTGCATTTTACAATTTCAGTAATCTTATTGTGTACGCCATATTGCCATCGATGAAATTTGAACTTTAACTTTAAGCCCGAAAGTTATTTTCAATGTCAAAAGCATAAATAATATTTTCTACTACCGTCTTTTTAAAAGCGTACATAAATTTAAGTAAGCATTCACACTGTTGTAGTAGTAGTATTAGACTTAAATTATATGTATAAGACTTGTATAAGATAAACAATATTTAATAATTAAATTAACATATATTACACAGTTTGACGTGTTATTTGCATTGTTAGAATACGCACGTTTTTTTTTTAACAAACATAGCAGTATACATTTGTTATTATTTATTTACATTGCAACAGGAATTGTGAAAAATATCTAACTAAACGTGATAAAGTGTATCTTTCTATAATAATGAGTTTTTTTTCACACGAATTTTGTGTAAAAATTATATTTAATCTAACAGTTTCAGTATTACCTACAGTATTCCTATACTATTCCCATTCGAATATACTAAACACCGAATAATATAGATGATATTAATATAATTAAAATAATTCTGTTTTATTTTAAAAATTTAGGCATTTTATTTTTAGAATTGTAGTTTGTAATGTAACCCCTCCCCTCCCCCTCCCCTAACAACATTACACAATTTTAAATTAATTAAAAAAAAAAATTGTTCTGTCACAGTGGTTTAGGATTCGAAAATGGCAATCAAAAATTTAATATGGCATCGCTGTAGTCTAAGAAATTTATTTTAATTTATATTTAGGATATATAAGTTAGAGGCATTTAGAAAATCCACTGGCACATACATCAGGTGTGGGTATGGAATGGAATCACGAGTCGAATCTGTACATATTATTATTTATTAAGTCAACGCATAGGCAACAAATGTGTTTATTATGATGTACGTTGAGTTAATATACAATTTGTGGTATATAAATAAAATAACAACCATAATTTATATAATGTTTCATAAGTTATTGACTTCGATTGCTGGTTGACCATTCTGACCTAACCAATGGACCACCTGGTTATGTAGTGTTTATATTGCTTCACTGAGTCGATCGACTCTTACTTCCCAAATTTTTTTGTTAAGAACTCTGTATTTATGAACGCCTGATGAATTTCTTAACACACAAGTAATATAACCGTCTAGCATATCAGCAGTTATTCTAATTGAAGCTGGAAGTTAGATATTTTCTAATAAACCTATTAAACGACATATTTTGGCAAATCGTCGAAAACGGGTTCGTATCCACCTTGAACAATAAAAATGTACTTAAAAAAATTGCCAAATTTAAATTACTAATAATTACTAATACTTTTTATTGTGCTAGACACAACAACTAATACACATGTATAAAAAAATATTAGAAAAGTAATTCAAATATAAAAGTATGAGTATTTACAGCCATGTTACTCTCGGTCAATTGCTTTTTAAAGAAGGGAACACGGTCGAACACCTTGTATTTCATAACCTATTATTGATTGAAATTTAATAAAATAAATTTTAAAAAAGTTAAACGTGGTTCGCCTAGGAATTTATTTTGTTACAGACTTAGATGCTTTTATGTTAGGTTAATTAATTAGAAATTCAATTAGTTCCATTGTTGTTATGAATTATAATATCTTAAATATCTTGTATAATAAATGGTATAAAAACTCATCGCCTGAGCAACGAAAAAAAAACCAATGATAATTATAGAATAAGAAATACATAGATAACATAAGATGTGTTCATAATGTTATCAATAATTATCTATTCGGATAAGAGTCAACTGTAATTTGACTACTTGTGTGCTACTGTAATTTCTACTTATTTATTATTTATAATGATCATTAAAAGCAAATTGTTTAAAAGAAATGTTGTTGAACATTCTCAAATACAAAAAAAAAGATATTTTCTCTGTACCCTACATATATTTACAGTATTGAACGATGTCATTTACCTGACATATTATTAGTAATAATATGTAATAATAGTATTGTTCATGACTGGTGGTTATCGATACTTCCAAACCAAACCTGGGAAGTCTAATATGTCGGACAGCACCCTGGTCTGGGCGCATGATGTAAATAGACATATATAATAGCTAGAGGAGAGGGAGTGACGCGACTCACGCTAGGGGACAGTATTCGCATCCACCTAAATATTAATCAGTTGACATCTTAACATCTACGCGCTAATATCTTATTTTATAATTTCTTAATTATTTGGCACCTTATTTATATTTGTGTGCGTGTCACTCCGCCTGTTCTAACTTCGGATTCCCGTGGACGAGATAACAGGTGTAAACATTTATATATAATATATTCCTACATATTGTTTCAGTCATTTTAACATTTTAATCAACAACTAATTCGTAACCGGCGTTAAGCCTTTTTAAATGTATAATATTGTACGTTGCTACTTGAGAGTTTAGTTTATTTACTTAAAGGTACGACCGGCCCTTTTGCTCTTTTGGGCGGTTATACAAATTTACAAAGAGTCTCTAGGGATATTTTAGGGCAGATACAGGGTAGCTTCTTGTCCCGGCTAGGGTCCTTTAATTTATCCTTAGAAGGCGGATAGTCGTGGGTGTGATCCACTCATCGCATTGTACCGTAACAGTTGCTGACATTATTTTAGAGCCTGAACGAGTTAAGAAGGATTTGACCTTTCTCAGCAATCCCTCTAGTTGCGCCAATGTTTAATAATAAACCACGATAGTAATTAAATTAGTTATAATTAATATAGTGTGATTTAGTTAGTAAATTAATGAAGCTAGAATTTATACAAGTAGCCACTATAAATCTAGTTTAGTATTATAAACGTATAAACGAAGCCTAAACATTTAGGTGTACAATTACACTTTATAATAAGCCACATGACAAATGTAACAAGAACAAAGAACACTGTTACACTACCATACATGTGAACACGAATTAACAAAGACACAATCTAAGACCAAATGATGGCTGACTAGAGACGTGGACATGAAGAGCGCCCTGTACCAATGTAGTGCGGCGAAGGTCATTAATCCCCACCTAGCGCATTAATTTTAAAAAAGTTGCAACTTTTAGAATTTTCCCTTTACTTACACTATAAGGCCTATATTTGTGCCAAATTTCACGTTTCTATCTATACGAGAAGCGTCTTATAATTTTGATGATGAGTAAGTGAGTCAGTAACAAAAATACAAATTTTGAAATCCTCCCATTTTAAAACGGCTAAATATTAAGGCCTGAATTTTAGGCAGTGTCCTCAACTATTTAAGCTTAATTTAGGTTTCAAATGTGTAAAGTCCATCTTAATATGTATCAGAGATATGAGAATTAGAAATACCGGGTGAATTGGTTTGTGTAAAGATACACTGGTATTGCTGGAACTTGGCCGGCGCACTGCCATGCGCTGATAGAACCAAAAATGTTTTCAAAAAATAAATACTACAAAATAAAAATTATTCTAAAGCGTCCTCAATTTCATCTTTAAACTATGACGAAAACATTCGGCTTGAGTGTCCAATACATTTTTTTTATCAATTTTAGAAATGCCCATTGCTTCTTCGGGTTCCGCTCAATATTTCTAACGTTTATAGCCACTAGCTGTCGGCTAATGCCTGTTATTTAATAAAAATCTTCTATGGAGATTTTAAAAATTGTGTTTTTTTAATAATAGTATAGGAGCATTATCACGAAGTTAAATAACCACGAGATTTTATCTAGTCATAAAATAAATTATTATCATTCTTGACTTTTAACTATTAATAAAATATATCTTAATTTGAACATAGTAATAAAATAATGAAATATTTTATACGAAATCAGAGCTACAAGTTGATAAACTAAAAAATTAAAATTAGCACGAAGCAGATTATTTAATATTGGATAATTTAAACAATCAAGCGTAAAACTCTTACAATGAATAACAGTAAAACTATACGCAAATCATTAGTGTTCCTTTAAAAAATTGTGTAATATGAAATACATTTTGGGGCAGTTGAATGCAAAAAAAACAAATAACCACAGTCCTCTTTATAATTTGTAGGTAGTTGGACCTTATATACTCATAGTTGACCTTCGGTACGGCAATATAATGCGGGACATAAAATAACGAGATAACGATAACGATTTTGCCGTGTCAGAATCATTAAGTGTCTTAATAAGTACACGGATCGGTTTTTTTCCCAATAAATCGTGTATCTACTATTATCAGTTACACAATTTAATCGTCTGTGATATCATGTAATAAACACAATATCATGATACCGACCATTGGGTCCTAACCTAACACGGGTCGACGTTACCAACGTAGACACCTTAACTATTGACAACCTTAAAACATAGAATATCTTGTTTATTATTTTATTTATATATATATTTTTGTTGTGCATCAGTAACTAATAATAGTAATTATTAAATTGAATATATATATTTATTTAGTAATAAAATTGACAGTAACCCATAATAATAATATGTAAAAAAAACCCATTAGTTCCATGCAGAAGTTGGCCTTCGGACAAATGGTGGCGCTATTTCCGATTTAAAAGCTGCGATATCGACTTCCACGGTTTTGTGACTTTGGGATCTAACGATACTTGAGCGGGTGCCTCAAAATACACTAAATTAAAAGTCTACAAAAAAAAGAAAGTTTTTTAACAATGTCTAAAAACAATCTTAGTTCAATTATTTTACTTTATCCTGTTTTCTAATACTCAGTGGCATCTTTACGCGAACTCCAGTAATACGTATATACACTACCGGCCTTTGTTCAAATAGCAACAACTGCCACAATTGTGCCGATTTATTAGATTTATCTTTAACCATGTCCCAATCTTTATGATTGACTGAAACTTGAACAGTGTAATTGTAGGTTCGGCCATCGCGGTCCCAAAGCAGCATCCTATAAATAATGACAATACTAATATAATCTTAATCGTATTGCCACAGTTAACCTAAAATTATTTTTGAATATATTTCAGGCACAAAAAATATTATAATTAAATAATAGAAACCAAAGTAAAAAGTAAATATTCTGTAAACGATTACCTCATTGAGCTAAGCACATACGGTTGGGCGAGTTGAATCTCTATACATTCTCCCAAATCCAGGAAATGAAATGTATATCCAAGATCCTCACCGTAGTTTTTATAGTCATCATTAAAAATGCAGTTATTCGTCTCCACCGTTCTTTCGCCAAAAAAAGAACCTTTGATTACAAGCGCATTCATAGATAATAAAGCAACATTGTACTTTGGAGCTAATAGATTAAAATCAGTTAATTAGATAAATAAGTTATTTTTTATATTATTCAAAGAACGAGTTATTTTCGTGTTGTCCTTACCAACAAATCGGTTTTTTATTTCCACCAAGTGCATATTGTCCGTATTGTACATGACTTTTAAAAATTCAAAAGGCTTATTACTAGTATTTGAGGTGCCAACAACACGTATGTACCTAACATATATTGGGTTAATCCACAAACGTTGAATTGACCGACAATCATAACTTGAATGATCAACTACACGCAACCAAACGTTCATATCCACTGATACTTCAATGTAATAAGAGTGAGTGCTGAAATGACAAGAATTCGATCAAATGAATGGCTGTGTAATTTTTTTGTCAATTAAGATGTCAAAAAAGAAAATCATGTATTTAAATAATTGTTGTGCAAAAATTATTAAAAAAAAATTAATAGTCATAACTCATTGTTCGGTGCATTTACAATTTTTTTTATTCATGAATAAATTTAATTAACAACTATTAAAGGAAATCATGAAAAAAATAAATTTTAACCTTGTTTGTATTCAAATAATATTGTACTAAATCTTTGATTAGAATATGAATAAATAAAAACATACAATGGCCATAATAAGGTTAATTTCATTTCGATGTAGTTTATATTCGATGGATGCTTCAACGCGATCATGGTACAGCCGTCAATTTGAGAAAGCTCTATCGAATTTTCTCGAGCGAAATTCACATTTGGTTCTAAAAAATAAAGTAGTTGATACTAACGTAGTTCGCTTAACATATTATATTTACATTGAGCATACCAAATCGTCCTCGATCATTAAATTTTTGTGTGAGGGACTTTTTTATGACATCTAAAATAATTGTATCCGAAAAAACTAGCTCTGATCTCCTAACTTCAGACAGTTCATCATTATTCATAAGCTGATATCTGATGGCAGACAAAATGTTGGTTTTATCGTCAGGATGAAGGTGGTCTTGGTTGTTTTTGATCCACTGACAAACCTCACGGAATATATCTAATTCGTTAACAAACGCCAAGTCACTATTGAGAATTAGTTGTAATTCTTCCTAAAAATTAATATTTCTGTTACAACTAATTAGCTAACAAGAGCAATACTGATTTTTTACTATAAAATATAATTACGGCCGACAAAGAGCTAGAATCTATAGATTTCAATACGTCCAAAATGTGTATGACAATAAAATTGATTGATGCAACTTCGAGTTCTTTGAGTTGATAGTAAAGTGCCACGACAAACAACGAACTTACATTGTGTATATTGATGTTATTACACAAGTACTCGGACAGTGAAAATTGTAAGTTTGTAAGACACCACATATTCGAGAGAATTAATAACTCCAAAATGACGTTACCCTAATACATAAAAAAATACATAATATGTATATTCGACAAATCCTTTTCAGTAAAATATATTTATATTCTAAATAATATATACATTACAAGTTACCTCTAGAACACTTAAATTCATTTTACCGAAATAAATATATTTAAGAAGTACTTTAAATGATGTTTTTGATCCTTCTTTTATTGTCACCACATTTTCATTAGCTTCTATATATCCGCCACTTAGTAATCCACTAAAAAAGGTATCCAATATTAGCATAAAAAAATGCATTGTATGTGCTACAACCAGTAAGGCACATTGTATGGGCTACTCAATTTACTTTAGTTTTGTTTGAGTATGTTAGATTATAATGAACAGCTATGTAATAAGTCATACAATCAGTTTGCATAATTACTATATCACTTGTTCACTTGTTTTACAAAAATATATTAATATTGTCATAAATATGTATAAGTGGTAATAATTCATAGTATAAATTTATATCAAGCAAGTAAACTAACAATTATAGATTACAAAACAGTAAAAAATCTTAAGGCAATCGATGTTGCTGTTTTTTCAAAAACATTTAGGTTGGTTCATTAGGAGATTAGTGAGCCTAACGTAACTGTAAAAATAAAAACATATGCTTTTCTAAATAATAGTAAAAAAGTAAAAAAAAATTTACTATTAGAACAATTGACCAATCAATCAAAAAAGAGAATAATATGCTTAAAGATATTATTACCCGAAATATTCACTGCGTGAGGCTAACACAGCACGATGGGCGGGGAATCGTTCATTATCTACAACTAAAACAACATCCGAAGACCTAAAATAAATATCAAAATATATTAGTAATATACTTATAAATACTACAAATGAATAATAATTTATGTATAATTTTAAATCTTTAAAAATAATACGGAGAAATTCCAAAAATAAATTTAGTTATAAACTGCTTGTGTTTTTTATATATTTAATACTACATTTTGATAAATTATATGCATTTTGTATTCATATTTAAGGGAGTGTTTTAGAGATAGTTAATTAAGTATAATTGATGTAGATGTTAATATTCATATTTGTACATAGCATATTCCTATTAATTTTAGAAATAAATAGTTTTAAGCTGATACTTCAATAAAGTTATTAATAATAATAATAATCTTACACACTTTTACTACAACATAAATTAAAATAACCTGCTTTAAGGATATAATGTTATACATTGAATGGCGTTAAGCAGAAAATAATAATAATAATACTAATTTGTTAGAAGCAAATTAAGCAAATAAATTATTAATTACGCCCATATAGGCATGCAGTACAGAAATTAAACAGTAAATTAACACTTTAACCAATATAAATACAACATAACTAAATTAATACAAATTAAATTTTAACAATAAAATATTATAAACAAAAATAATAAACTTAATAAAACATATAATATTATTGAGCAAGAATTTTGGGGAGGGAGTCGAAAAAAAAATCAACATTACTTAAAGTATTACAGTTAGAAAGAATCCTATTCAGAGGAGCATGCGTACTATAGTCTTGTTTTTGAGTAGAAGTATACAGGAAAGGAGGGGATCTGGTATGATGTGTTGGAACATTAAAAGGAATTTGGGCTAAAAGCTCAGGACAGTCAATATCATTATTTAATAACTTATAAATAAATTTAATGTCATTATTAAATCTTCTTTTAGCAAGCGAATCCAAATTAACCTCAACCGCTATGTCATCTATTCTAGAATCCAGCATCCCTAACTTAATCCTTAACATATACAGAAACCGGTTTTGTATTTTATCGAGATCTTTGACTTGTCCAATTAGATAAGGACACCATATAATCGAGCCATATTCGACAATTGACCTAACAAGGGAACAGTATAAAGTTTTTAAGCACTTAAGGTCATTAAACTCAAAACAGTTTCTTTTTAAAATTCCAAACATCCTAAAAGCCTAATTTTTTATGTACGAAATATGTTCCTTAAATGACAGGTCACTTGACAAAATTATACCTAAATCCTTTATATGAGTAACTATATTCAGCACAACACCGTCAATATTATAATGGAAAACGAGTGTTTCTTTGCTCCTACAAAATGTAATTTGGGAGCATTTAAGGGCATTAATCAAAAGAGAGTTATTACTGCACCACTCTTGGAATCTATCCAAATCAGCTTGCAGTTTCCTACAATCATTGACACTATTCATTTCCAGATAAAGCTTTAAGTCATCAGCAAACAAAAGGTACTTACAATAATAAAAAACAGCATCTAAGTCATTAACAAAAATATTAAATAATATTGGAGATAAATAACCACCCTGTGGTACTCCAGAGGTAACATCAAAACACTTCGATAAACAATTATTAATTTTTACAATCTGTTTTCTATTAGAAATATATGAATTAATCCAACTTAAGAAAGAGCCACATACACCTAGCTGTTCAAGTTTGAAAATTAACTTCCTATGATTAACACTATCGAAAGCTTTCCTTAAATCAGTATAGATAGCATCAATTCGACTCTTATTACTTATTACAGAGACTAAGTCTGAGTAAAAAACTAATAAATTAGTTACAGTTGATTTTTTTTTGCGAAATCCATGTTGGCACGATGTAAGTGTATCGTTTAAAATACCTGAGATCTTTGGTTCTAATAGCTGTTCAAATAATTTAGGCAAGGCACTAATTTTAGAGATAGGTCGATAATTAGAAATATTCGACCTATCTCCAGCTTTAAAAATAGGAAAAATGTAGTTGACTTTCCAAGAAGAAGGATAAACCCTAGATGATAAAGACAGACAAAAAAGAAAATGTATGGGACGAGTAAGAGAGTACCGGCAATTATAAAGAATAATAGATGGTATTAAATCAGGTCCAGTAGTACAATCAATTTTTAGCATGGACAATCCATCAAATACCTCAGCAATAGATAAAGTACAAGTAGAGAAATCAATAATATTATTATTTGTTGATAAATTGGAGAAAGATTGATTAACGGTTACTACGGGCGTATACACTGATTCAAAAAATGATTTAAATAATTCAGTAACTATAAACGGATTGTCAGAGAATTTATCATTAAATTTCATATGTTTGGGCAATGAATTTATTTGTATACGGTCCTTAACAAACTTCCAAAACCCTTTTGGATTACTTGACAAATTCCGCTGTAGACGTTTAATATAATTATTATAACAGACTTTTGATAATTGTTTACATTTAGCTCTTATATTAGAAAACTCACAATAAACATCTCTATCATTTGTTTTTTTAAATTTAGTGTGTAACATATTCTTCTTTAGAATTAATGAACGTAATTCACTGGAAAACCATGTAGGAAAATTGAATGAATTGGATTTTTTCTTTGTAGCAAATAGATGAATACCTTCATTTAATTTATCATAAAAATATTTTAAAGCAATAATAATATCATTAATGTTATATAAGTAAGACATTGAATTTGACTGCACTACAATATTAGCTCTACTAACATGTAATAATTAAAATAAACTTAGACTAGTTAATTGTGTTAACGATACTGATAAAAATATTAAAAATAAGTTTAGTGATATTGCTGAAGCCCTAGGCAGCTTTCCTATATAATGTAATATACACGTTGATCATAGTGTCCAACATATAATAGACGCTCCAAGAAAAAAATCTTCTTCTTTATATAATCAACTAATTAAAGAACTAAACAATATATGTATAATGTATATCTATAGTATTATAAAATGTAACGACCCCAACGAAATAGGTTAATTAATTTGTTCCTGTAATTAAGAAGAATAATAGGTCTGGATCCAAAAAATTTGAATAAGCCACAAAAAGTTCACATTTTATTCTTCCTACTTTTAAAGTTATCAAAATTCAATTATCTAATACCAAATATTTTCCAACATTAGATGCCAACTCAGTTTCCTGCATAATTCCCCTAGGAAGGAAATTCTAAACTTCGTTGTTTTATTACACCTTTAAGGTTTATATAAATTGCTCCATTGCTTAATTTTGATAAAGAAACATTGCTGAAGAGTTAGTTTTACATTAACAATCATTTAAAGAGAATCTACCTGTAGATTAAAGATAGTTAATTTAAATTAAAAAAGAAATTTCTAATAATTTTTAAAAAGTGCATGTTGTAGAAGGTTTTATGACATAAAGCTTAAAACTGAAAATGGTATAGAAGAAATAGAAAACATATTATCATTTACATTGAAATATAATGAAGACATTTGATAAGAATAAATTGCAGTAAGATAACTAATTATCCAAATTCTCCCATAGTTCTTAAACAGCATGAGGCAGTAAATAGATATGGTAGGAAATAGTAAAATTTAAGATATATTTATGTTAATTGTTGATCATTTGTATATCTGTATTATTTATTTTTATCTTGTTTTGTCCCTAATATTTTTTGACATTTTCATGTCTTAACTCTGGCACATAACCGAAAAGAGTATTATTTATTTAGTGTTATCAAAAAAGCGTAACGAAAAAAGCATTACCACACGGAGATGGGGTTGGGGTGGAATATAGGGGTAGGAGATAGAGGTAGGAGATAGGGGGTAGGAAATGGGTGTGGGAGATAGGAGTGAGAGATAAGGGGTAAGAGATAGGGGTAGGAGATAGGGGTAATAGATTGGGGTGAGAGATAAATTATATTCACAACGATCAATTTATAACTGAAAAATAAATTCAATGTAATTTAACAGGTTAATTTCCTATGAATTGTTTTGGGCCAGATACTATGAAAAAACTAAAATATTAGCCAGAATCTTGATATGTTTACTAGCCACCTTAGATACTAGCTTGTTAATATACTCTACATTTATTCGATACTTCAACGAGACATGAAAATGCTCTTTCGTTTATATATTTTTTATATGTGATAATTTTATATTTTATAATTAGTATGTTTTGTTTATAAAAATTATTTTTATTGACTAGTTCAATTTTTTTTTTTTAATGGTATGTTATAATAGGCAACACTGTTACAACACTGTTATTATACATATATTGTACAGGTTATTACACGGGTTAAGTGGTTAATACTAAATAAAATGTAATGTGCTTAATAATTAAAAACCACCAGTCCTTTATATCTAATGGAATCTTTTAAAATGTCATAATACATACTTTTCATTTAAAAACTTTTTTCTATTGAAACAACGACACTCGTTGGACAAGTATTGAGTGTGATCAATTTGCTCGTCACCGGCCGGATTGGTCCTACCAGGAATCCATATCTTGGTAGGACTAGAGTATGCTAAAATATAAAATTAATTTTACAAATGAATTTGTATTGTTCATTTACAGTAAGAATTAGTGTCCAGCGGTTTGATTTAACATCAATTTTTTTAAATGGTGAATTTCGATACTTTTAATGAAATAATAATAATAATTGTATTGCACTAGCGCAGTAAAGTTTTATAATTGTAAAATAGTTGAACAGTTTTTCATTTACTTTTAAATATAGTTTTTTAGTTTTTTTGCAAATGAAAAAATAACAATAACTTAATTGCGTGTTTGCAATACGGTTTAATAATAATTGTGAAATCGTTTACCATTTTTAGCAATTAATATAAAATTAAGGGCAGAGACTACGAACTAACCTTTCGTTAAAGTTGTTAAAAATATCAAATTAGCCTCCCGCAGAGCTTTTTAGCGCTTAACTTAGACATTTTAACTAGTCAGCAAGGAAGTTTTGCGAAAGGATAAGCAAATCTTACTAGGCCATCTTTTAGTGAGAAAATAGCAAATACCGTAAATTGCGATAATTACCATAATCGGGTTCAGAATATATCACTTATGGTTATATGCTACGATTATAAGAAGGCAATTATTTACGTAGATGCAAATGAAATATATTACGTACCCGGAGTTGACCTTAAAACAACGAGCACAATAAAATAAAATATAAGCACCATCATGTTATACATGTTAATATTATTTATGAACACTATATGAAACACTTATAAAAAAAAAAAAAAATACAACGTCCATAGGTATTGAAAACTAACGGGAATATATTATATTGTTTTGATAAAATAGCGCACAATTTTTTAGCATACGTTATAGTGTTTTTCATAGAAAGAATTATGTATACAACTGGTGTGCGTTTTTTGTGCGAGGCCTCGATGAATTTGATCGTTCAGTAGCGAAATGTACATACAAAGTACCTGAAAGTACCTAAATATACAAAAATATTGTCGTTTTTTTATTGTATTTTCAATTCATGTAACCCTATTGTCGTATACAAAACGGCACTATCGGTTTTAAGAAAGTCAAAAACACGGGGGCCAAAAAAGGTGAACTAGGTTTTTTTTTCTTGAAAATAATTTATCGAGAAAAAAAATTTCCGTCCGAAGCTTCTCTGAATACAAGAAGTGTTTTCTGTTTAACAAATAGATTACTAAATTGTTTTATAAAAAAATATGACTCTTGTTGATGGTAAATCATGATTATTTATGTGTACGTGTTTTCTTCTTCTCCATCGGTCATGCTGTAGGCGCCTTCAAAACAATTTACCACTTGTTATTCAACGAAGGTTTATTTTTTCCCTTAAGATAAAGACAGTGCATCATGAATATGTTTATGGTACTTGGAAGCTGGAAGACGAATATAAGATACATTTGTAACCGTCACATTTAGCCGCCCGTTACCACTCGCCTCCAAATATGCATTATTAGCAATTTACCCCGATTAGCATGTGAGCCATTATAGGTAGGAGAGACAACAGACACACGGGACAATGCCAGGGGCAACGATGCCCAGTTAGTTGACTTACTACCATCTTCGGACCGCCACCTAATTATTCTAAAGCCATTACTTATTATTTCACGTTACCTTACTATTTTATATTTCTTTTAACTTTACCCGTGCTCGTGTGTCCGTTCAACTCCGCCATTATCTGGACAAACTACAGAGACAATTATGTTTCCATTACACTTAAGAGACCAAGCCAAAAAATTATTTCAATTTATCGAGGTTGAAAATATAACTCTAACGTGGGAAACTTTAAAGAAATCCTTTTTGGACTTTTATAATACAGAGGATAAATTAGAATTATTAAAATATAAGTTAAGTAAGAGGAAACAGCAGGAGGATGAATCTTTGCAAGAATTCGTATTGAATGGAACTTCAGAGTGTCGTAGGATAGATAAAAACATGGAGGAATGTAAGATTATAGAACAAATACTAAAGGGGTTAAACGAAGAGGTGTATTGGAAGTTAATATCTATGGACAACTCAACCCTAGAGGCATTGAAAAGTAGTATAAAAACGTATGCGGTACATGTATCTTTACGCAAAAATCATTTTATCTCCGATATAGAAGTCCTAAAATTACACGCAGATAAATTGAAATAGATGATCAGATAAGGCAAATTAATTTAGCCTCTAACAATAATTGTACGGGTAGTTTTAAGGATAGAAAAAAATATTTTAGGCCTGGTAATATTAGATATAACATTAATAGTTATGATGACAGTCGTAATATGAATAGTATTAATCTATAAAATCACCAAGGGTATATAAATCCTAATGGTAATAATTATAATGCACGGTCTAATGATAATAGCCAAAGACCACCCCCGTTAGTAGAAAATATAAGTAGTTATTGACTCAGGAGCAAGTGTAAGCGTTATTAATGAATGTTTAATTCCAAAAAATCAATATATAAATTCATTTGGGCAAACAAAGTTATATACTGCGAATGGTTCGCAACTACATTTTGCAGGAAAAACAAATATTATAGTGTGTTTTAACAATGTGCCGTTCCAAATAGAATGTGCAGTGGTAAAACATTTGAAAGGTAATAGTCTTTTAGGCATGGATTTTTTAACAATCTATGAAGGTATAATAAATGTACGTAAATTGCAGTTATCTGTTAAAGTAAATGACGAAGAGATGGTTATTAATTTGTTGAAAAATTAACATAATAGATTTAGTATAAACACAATTGGAAATAATAACTATAATATGTATAGGACTCACAATAATATGAGTAATAGGGGTAGCCAAAATAATAATCGTGATACCAGGTGTTTCAACTATAAAAGACATGTTGATAACTTTAACTATAAGACTCATAGGGCAAACCAAAATAATTATCAGGATACTAGGACAAATCACGGTACGAATTTTAACAATTCTATGCATAGCGCTCGTAGGTCTAATAGTAATATTAATTTGGGTAACTTTAATTATAATAAATACAATAGATATCCTAATGGAATAAATAATAATATGGTTACGGCTGTATTCAATAGGAATTATATGACAACCCAAAATCGCTATAATGGTACCAGAAATATTAATCATACCAGTAACAATAAAAATAGGTTTACTTGTGGTAGTTTTAACATTCAAAAGCCCTGTTTTACTAGAGTTCCATACATATCTAATGAGAATTATAACGTAGGGAATGTAGCCTATAACCCAGGAAGGCAAAGTTGTGTCCAAACTCCAATTTTAATCTTGACCTAAACGAAATTTATAAATTTAATACAATATTAATATAACTAACCGTTATGGTACTTGACCGTTAGGGAAAATATTTTAACACATGTAGGACACCGCACACATTTTTATTTATTTTTTTCATTTTACTTTTTTTTTGTTTAAGCTGACAATGGGTGTTGTGGAATTCCATACAACTGTTAATTATAAATCCCACAACAAACTGTAATTGTGTTTTATATAATTTGAGTATTTTAACTTATAATATTTTTTTTTGTGTGCCATTTACTTATTGTTAATACTGTGTATAATTAAATTGATGTTAACTCTTTACAAATGTAGACATATTAAGCTAGTAATTAGAAATTATCTGCCTTATAATATTTAATTAAATTAATGTTAGATTAAACAGCTTAGCGATATTTATTAAATCGTCTAGACTTGATTCTTTTGTGTTAAAATAGCTGGTCAATTATTACAATTTATTATTAATGATTACCATTCTAACCATGCTAATATGGCCAGGGAACTTGAAGAGATTTCAGTAAATATTTCACTTGTTTGGATAATAATACTAAATATTTTTAACGGAATTATAAATCGCAATGTTCATTTTAAATGAACTCCAATGTACCAGACATTATAATAACAGCGTCAGCAAAATTTTTTCGTTTACCGACGCGTAGGTATTAGATTACTCGAACATACATTTGTTTTTTTTTTATGTACCAATATTATATCCTGTATGTATGTATGTATGTATGTATGTGTGCTTGTGTGTGTGTATTCATACATATACATTATTATTACGAATTAAACGTATCATATAAGTGTATATTGTTGATCTGTGCCATGGGTACAAAAAGTAGGATTTTTTTTTATAATTATATAAATAAGGTACACAATTGGAAAAATTAGGTTTTGCTTAACATCAACATATTATTAATTACGATTATATTTGCCGGTATGCAATTGTTTAGTTAATTTTACACTAGATTAATACGAATCAATAAGTCATTAATGATAAGACCATTGCATAGGTGTATACATTATTTTAATAATTGTTAGAGAGTGAGGATTTTGTATAATTTCGCACATTGGCGCATGAGTTTCAAAAGTTTCACCGAATTCAAAAGTAAATAAAGATTTATATGTACGATTCTTTGTGGAAGTATTATTTATCGAATTCTTGCCTAAGCATTAACTCGAAAACACAATTTTTTTACTATACAGAAAAACACTTGCGTTGTTCGGTGTGCTTTCCCATTTCCACTGTTTATATAAATTGAAATATACGAAACACATAAAATGCGCATAATACGGCCATAAATAAAACAAGTTTAAAACTACCTTAAATATACATTGCAAATTACATCAAGGTATAATTTTTTTTAAAAAATTATCAAATTACTTTATTTTTAATTATTGGTTTTAAAATCGCGTGTAAATTTAATGTTCACGTTGTACATTTTTAATCACTTTATTGTACAGGCTTTTTTGTCGATAACAAATCGTACTTATTTTATATAAATTGACGATTTTTTCACATAACTACAATAACACATTTATTACAATTTATACTTTTTTTATTATGTACTACTAGTTATAGGTGTAATACTACAAGGATTTCTTTTGTTTGTTCCTGGTTACGAGTTATGATATAATGTACACCGTTTCATCCGATGTTAAGTTTTTACAGCGTTCAATCTCAAAAGTAACTTGTACTGTCAAAAACATAAAATTTTATTTTCTACTTACTCTCTACTTTTTGTGTCACTACACCCATTTCTAACTCGATTATTGATTTTCAACTGGGCTTACAGGTTTATGAAAACAACTTATAATCAAATAAAAATCATAAGATATTTTGAAAACGTGAACAAATTAGGGAAATTATATTTTTTCAACATATGGATTCGATTGATATGTAGATCCTGGAAGTTCACAAAAAAATAAAAACGATAAAAAATGTACCCTACTAAATGTAGTTTTTTTTTTAAAATTAATTTTAGTTTTTTATTTTAGTTTATATTATTTTAATGTATTGCACAGTATTAAAACTTTGTTTATTTTTTTTTTTGGAGTAATAAAAAAATAAATTCTTAAATCCAATCAACTTCGATCTACTTTCAACTACAATCGTTTTGTATTTTATTCACTTACTACGATTATTAATATTTGTATTATACAGATATTCGGGTTTAAGCGTTTATTTAAATGTTAACTTATCACATTCAGTTTTAATCATTTCTGAATGACCTGTAACCTACACGAATCCAATGCACTCCATTTCCACTATTCCCCGCCTCCACAATGCTGGCTTATAATTAAATAAATATGTTTTTAAGGAACATATGTCTGTTGCACAAATAAACACCGTCTGGCGTCTACATTTTGCATTTTAATTTACACGCGCCGAGCTTTGAGAATCCGTTGTTGTATCACAAAAATATCATAAAATCCAAACAAGCTAACAAAATTCAAT